TAGTTACCGCCGCATGATCAGAATACACTGTTATTGGCGCCCTTCCAAAATAGACTCGTAACTTTTGCACTGCTAACAGAACTGCAAGTGCCTGTCTCTCGGTCGCGAAATAATTTTTTTGTGTTTGATTTAAAGTTCGACTAAAAAATGCCACGGGCTGCTGATTTTGCGAACGTACCGCTTCTACCGCATAATCCGAAGCATCCGCTGAAATTTCTAAATTCTCATCCTTTTCAGGAAATTTCAAAACAGGGGCTTGCGTTAATGCTTGCTTTAATTTTTCGAAAGCACTATTGGCTTCGGCCGTCCACGAGAATCTTGCCTTTTTCCTTTTTAATTTTAACAATGGTTCAGCAATAGCTGCAAAATCTTTTATAAAGGACCTATAATATGAACAAAGTCCTAGAAAAGAAGAGAGCTTCTTAGCCGTATTTGTCGGCGGATACTTTTCTACAGCGATTATTTTTGATTCGTCTGTCTCGATTCCTTTCTGAGATATTTTGTAACCTAAATATTTTAATTCAGGGGCTGCAAATTTGCACTTTTCGACATTAACTTTTAGACCGGCCTCATTTAATAATGAAAACACCTGTCTTAAATCCTGTACATGTTGGTCCAGATTATCACTAGTAATAATGATATCGTGTAAATAGATAAATGTGGACTTTCCAAAAACAGGCCTTAGCACAATGTCCATACATCGCTGAAATGTTGCCCGTGCCCCTGAAAGGCCAAACGGCATACGCAGGAATGCATAAGTGCCAGACTTGGTTATAAAAGCAGTCTTAGGCACATCTTCCGGTCTAACCCCTATTGGAAAATAACCAGTCGTTAAGTTTAAAGTCGTCATGTATTTGGTAGAAGTTATGTTCCTTAGAATTTCTTCAATAATAGTTAACGGATATACCGGATATTTAGTCATGGAGTTTAATTTACGATAGTCAATCGCAAAACGCCACCTTTTTGGATGTGTTACTGGATAGTCATTGTTTTTGTTACATAAAACAACCGGGCTAGCATAACTACTTGAGATGGGCGTTATGATCTTTTTACGTAACATATCTGTAATGTGCCACTCTATAATTTTTTCTTTATTCTTATCATATCGGTATGGTTTGTGGCGAACTGGCAGTGAATCTCCGGTGTCGATACTATGGTTAGTAACTTGAGTAAATCCTGGAATATCACTAAATAACGAAGCAAATTCACTTACCACTTGTCGAATTTTTTGTTGTGCTTCCTTAGGCAGGTGGTCAAGGTTTAACATTGGTGGTTCTGTTTTTTCTGCTCGAACTGGTTTCATTGTCAGCTTAAGGGACGCTTCGTTAAAATCCAGCGTTGCTTCTGCCTCTGAAAGAAAATCTATCCCTAAGATGATATGTGCTTGCAAATTCTTTACTATAAAAAACATAATCTTACTTGTTCGTCCTTGATAGGAACGTATAGCGGTAATTTACCTATGCACTGCCATCTTTCTCCCTGCGCAGCTAACACTGTCGTATTATCCGAATTATATATGCGGTATTTCCGAAAATACTTCTTAAAAAAATCTTCTGCGACACAGGAACACTGCGCGCCTGTATCCAGGAGTGCGGTGGCTGGGATGTTATTCACCAACACTTCAATCTTTGGAAGAGTCAAATTTTTCACCATCACTGTATTTAACTTGAAGGAAAAGGGGTTTTCTTGGCCTTCGGATTTCCGCACCCTCCCGTCAGCAGAAATCCGTTTTAGTTTAAATTATTTTTCATTTCCGTGCTTTCCTTCTTTTTCCACTGGCCTTGAGACTTTTTTCCTGGATTGCTATTGAACTGTCGACGTTCGCCGGCTGTTTTTGAATGCTCGGGTTTTCTTGCCCACTGATTCGCTTTGCTTCCGTAGCCGTGTTCTTGACTTTGCTGTGGTCTTGGCGCACCAAATTGGTTTCGTTGTTCACTGGCGTCTTCTTTCAATGTCCGCCGTTCTTCTACTTTCAAACTGGATTGCTAGTTCAAATAACTTTTCCAGTGTAGTCGGATTCCTTAATTCAATAAAGTCTTGTACTTGGGGAAGTAACCTCGGCAAAATCACATGAATTATCTCAGTATCTGGACGGTTTCCATACAAGAGTTTGAAGACGTGAATTTTTCTTAAAATAAAGGTGGAAAGATTTTCAATTCGTTGCTGATATATGCTGAAAAGTTCCGTTTCTAATTTTGCACGATCTCTTACGACAGGGAAGGCTTTTACTAAGGCAGTCTTGAAATTTTCGTAAGTATAGGTGGGACTTCCCGCTTGACCCAAGAGGCTTCTGCCGATACATTTGAACCAATTAAGCGCTTGGCCCCTCAAAGCGCTGGTAGCTAAGGTGACTTTCTGGAACTCATGCACAGGATACAGCATGAAGTGGTCCTCCAATTTTTCCAAAAAACTGGTTACCGGTGAGTTTCCATTAAATGTTGCTTCTGGTTTCATCGATGCGCGCATGGTCTGGACGATGTAACCAAATCCTTCCAGGGCGGCAGCTGGCATTTCTGGATTCTGAGCCGCTTCTGCAGGCAGCACAGGTTCTTCTTGAAACTCGGCCATGATTATTCTTCTTCGTCGGGCGCCACTATCAGGTTCAGTGTTCCTCCTTACTTGCTTTGGAAACATTAAATGACCTGAATAGGAACAGGGAGCTTACTAACTAAGCTATGTTCAATAAATGTGGGAAGTAGACAAGATACACAGGAAGGGTATACGAAACCCTTTATTTTTTTCTTTTTACAATGATTTACAGACTTCGGAATACAGAGACCAACCACTTGTGGTCTGAACGTAAGAATATAAAAATATTAACTAAATTCTAACTAAACTAACTTTGGATTAATAAACAAGTGTCTACTTGAAGATTGGCCGTATATTAACAGAAAAGCCGTATGTAGTACAGAGAACTGTTAACACTACGATACGTTTAAAATTATCAAGAGGATTAAACCTCTGGCCTTGAAGGCAACCAGCAACCGAGTAAAACTGCTATGGCAAGCGGCCTGCTCCTAATCACTCCTTCCTCTCTCTTGCTTGGCAAAAAGCCACAACTTAAGTACTTGGCGTTCGCAAGACAAATTTGCATAGATAAGTTAAAGCTTTTAATTCTGGCCGGAAGTAGAAAATAAGAAGTGATAGTAAAGATTTAAAATAAAATAAACGTTAGTAAAACTTAAGATCCTTACAATTTCCTCAAAATATTACCTATTATTATTAATGATCATCGTGAAATCTACAGAAAGCTGCAAACAAATAGTATGCAGCACGTATTGCATGTGGATAATGTTAATCTGGTCAAGGTCGTTCTAGGAGGCTTGCCCTGCGACTACGACCTGATGAAATTAAAGAAGAACTGATTTCAGAGGAATTCAATGCTATCTAAGTGAATCAGACGTACAGATTTAAGATTTGAAAAGCAATGCCTCTGTTTCAGGTACTTTATTGCAAATATTATTAGCATACAACTCCTTTGTTGTCCCACTATGCACAAAGCAATGCGTTTAAGGACAACTCTTCTCTCGAGGTCACTACAGAGGGTTCTTACGGCTTCTCATTTACAGTAATAGGCAAAGAATCGGCGTCCGCCGAAAACATCGCGGAGAAAACAACGCAAAGGAGAAAACGTCGTGGTACAAAACATCGTGGGAGAAAACATCGCAGTTCTAAAATATCGTGGTCGAAAATAAAGTTGTTCAAAAACTTCGCAGTTTAAATACATCGTCGTAAAAAATAAAGTACCTACAAATCATCGCAGGACGATAACATCGCGCACATGCGTTTTCAGGTTTTGAAAGATGCAAATACATGTTCGTATAAAGATCATAGAGCTCAAGAAGTAAAGAGGGATTCTTTTACTTTTATATTTCATATATTTGAAGGAACTAATAAATTTTTGCTGAAAAAATAAGAAGGAAACTTAAGCATTTAAAAACTTAAAATGAGTAGAAAATTAATGCAACTTAATAAGTTTAATAGAATTTTAAATTTATATAGTTAATTAACAAATATCATTAATAAATTAAGCTTTCTTTATAAAGGTTATTATAAAGGTTAACTGACAATTTTTCATGAAATGTACAGTCTAAAAATGCTTAGAAAAAGGAAGATAAATAACTGTATAAGGTTACCTCTATAAAAATTGCTTAGTTAATGATCAAATTACTTTCTTTCACATTTGTTTTGATATTTTTTAATGAAAATTAAATGTTGTTTTGTTTTCGTTTAAAGTGTCGTTAACATTTTCATGTATAGCATGCAATCAATTTTTTGGATGTCGATTTGTTAGTTATGATGAAATTCAGTTACATAATATGTCACTATGCGATTTGAAAGACCCATGTATGCGATGTTATCGTCATGCGATGATTTGTACGTACTTTATTTTTGACCATGATATTTTTGACGACTATGTTTTTAAACAGCGAAGTTTTTGAACCGCTTTATTTTTGACCACGATACAACGATGTTTTAGAACTGCGATGTTTTCTCCCGCGATGTTTTTACCATGACGTTTTCTCCTTTCGTTGTTTTCTCCAAAACTTTTTCGTCCGCGATGTTTTTTCCGCGTTGTTTTCAGCTGTAACCCAAAGAATCACATGCCGAGACTCGAACAAACAATATTCTGCTCTATTAAAATATAGTGGATCCACACATCGTAGCATCTTACATAGATAATACTCTTCAAATGATCTTATACTGTTCTTTTTGGATTAGTTAGTCTGTCTGGTTATTCCTAATCTGCATAACGTGGATTTAGCAATAACTCCTTCTAACAAGCTTTTGTTCACAGAAAGCAACTTCCGAAAAAGGCAATTTGACTCTTAATTCAAAGACAGCTAAATAATTTCCCCTGCTTTAAGAAACAATTCAGAGACTACTAAATTAAGTTTTTTTTTGTTATGCATTCAAATATTTAAACTAGTAAGAACTGCCGTTGTACAATACATAGAAATTTCCATGAATATATATTTTTTATATGCTTTGGGTTTTAGATTCAATTTGACACCGGAGCAGATCATGTTTGGTCTTGCCGAAACAGACTTGAGAACTATGCTGCAAGGAAACGAAGTGCAAACTTGCGAATCCCAATTCAATTTTACCTGCAGACGAAATGACAGATACAGGACATACGACGGATCGTGTAACAATCTCAGACACCCATCATGGGGTATGGCTGCGTCTTGTTTTGAACGACTCGTCGATCCAGACTACTCAGATGGTGAGTCTTTACTAATATGAAATTCGTCTTTTATTTATAACTATGTAAGCAAGTTAAAATCTGCAAATTTTAAGTTGCAATACTAGTGTAGAAATTAAGCTACGTACATTTCTGTCCTCATAAATTTAAATTTAAGGAACCCATAAAAATAGAATTTTTGTTTGTTGTGTGTGAGAAATCCATTCTGCCCTCAGGAAAAATGAAACGTTGCGTACATTTTATATGGAAAATGAGAGAGAAAATATTTTATTGCACACTTTTTTAATGAACAATTTGAATGCAAGTTTCATAAGAATACCAGTTTGTTTATTAACTACCACTTTTATGAAAATACACAAATAAGTTCACTGGGATGTACCCTTCTTTTTATTTGCACAATTAGAGATATGAGCAAAAATTTCTTTTACTTGGCGTTCAAAACGAGATATCGATGGAATACGGTAATAAAGTTCCAGGAAATATTCCAGCTAGATAAACTTCCTGCAACATTTGCTACTGGTTGGTAACAGTTTAAAAACACATCAGAAGGGAAAACAAATTCTGCAACTCTCTGTCAAATGAACATTTCCAGGAAACTTACGTAGCTAGATCAATAATATTTTTGATGTAGAATCATACTTCCGATTGGTAGAACTAGTCGCAATATTGTGTCAAAGGCAATATTTCAAGTTTCAGAATAAAATTTTAGCTGGCTGTTTACCAGAACCTCCTGAAAACCTCCAATGAAACTGTCATACCTCCTGAAACTGATTCAGGGAAAAACATTTCTAGAAAAAGCTTCTTGTCGAATTTTGTATTCCATGGGATGTACTTGTTGAGAACACGGTGTTAATACGTTTTGAGGTAGCGAATGAGGGTGAGAGAGCGAAAAATAAAAACTGTCGATCATTACACCTACATCGAAAGAAGATTCCAAATGAATATCCGGAAAAGGTACGAAATATTTGTAATGTTTCTAAAGTTAAATAGTTGGTAACAAGAGAAAATACGCCGACGAAGAAATCAATTGCAGAATCTTTAAATACATATGTAACAATAATAAATAAACGAAGATTTACAACTAGAAAAGGAAAAATCATAATGTTCAGTAGCTTTTACCGAGGCATATGGTTCAACAGAGAACAATTTGTAAAACCATGTACAAAAACCATTTAGTGGAGATAAATGAAAATAAGTTGTGCTTCTTGATGAAGCACGGAGTTACCTAAATGATTGCAACAAAAACTGATCCATTTATTACTCGAAACGAAGAGAAAAAAATATAGAAACCTTTTCAATCAATGCGTAGAAAGTTTCTATAAGGGGTTTTGATTGTCGGAGGGTTCTCTTTAGTGGGAAAAATAAATTAAAAAGTAAAAAGATTTGAAAAAAAAAATGCTAAAATTAATTCAACTTACTATCAAGAGAAAGTTTGACGTCCAATATTTACAAAAAAAAAAAAAAAAAAAAAAAATCTTTATTTCTATGAATTTTAAAGACAGAAACTTCAAAAAGAGAAAACAACAAGTCATAGTTTGAAAAATATGACGATAGTCCTAAAAATGAAGACTGACACACCTTTTCAAAGTATTCCAGCGAAATCTACGTTTCACCTATGGACTATTTGGCTTTTTGAAAAGAGCTCTCTTTCTGAACGCTAACCAACCACGATTGATGGACTGGAATTTCCACTATTGGAAAGTTTTAGAAAGAGGAATGGAAATCATTACCCTGGAAATTTTGCAAAAGGTCCTTCTATCATGGAAATCACGATGCAAACATACTCGGACATTTAAAAAAGTACTCTTTGCATTTTAAACGTTAATGAAAAGGTTCCGAAATCGTTCTAAAAATTTGTAAGAGCTCGCTCATGTTGTTTGACATTTCTGCTGGAATTAAATTTTCTTCAAAAAGATAAGTACCGGATCCGGTCACTGGTGGGATGTGGCTGAATTTGAGCCCTGATTACAAATTACTAAAAATAAATAACTAAATAAAATAAGCAACGTAAGCAGAAGTCTTCACAGTGGCATTGACAAGAGAAATACTGAGCTTTCTATCAGAGAAGAAAAAATTTGTGGCAGCTCCTTTTGTAATTTTTTTTGTGGGGGAGTCATAAGATATTTCAAAAAATGTATAACCGTAGTCTTAAGAAAACGGTACATGCTTACAGAAATAACTAAGCAAGGAGCTTATTTGAATCTTTCCATTTTAATGGTTCCGATAAAACCTTCTTCAGGACCAAGTCTTAAATTTTAACATCTGATCTTTTTGATTTATTTTCATTTACAGTTTTTATTCTCTTTTCTTTATAGGTACAGCTGCAAAACGACAAGCACGATCAGGACGCCCTTTGCCTTCTCCCAGGACACTCTCTTTAGAACTTCATGCCCATTTGGACAATCCAACCGATTACGTAACACACATGTTCATGGCATGGGGACAGTTTCTGGATCATGACATATCCTTGTCTCCTTTGAGTAGAGGGCGTAAGTTCATTAGCCAGAGTTTGTCTACTCTTATTGCGCAATATACAATGGAAAGATTTAAAACGTAGTTTCAATATCCTATGATTGAGTATACAGAAATAGGACTGAGAAAACCTTTCAGTTTTTAACATAATTCATATCACGCTAAGTGCAGATGTAGCCCTTCAGTAGAGGCTGGGTTGTCCAGATAGAACTTTTGGCCGGTCAAATAGCCGCTTTAAATGCCTTTATCTTATTACTTGCACTGATTTCTTCTATATTCTATTCTCTTATACTACCTAAGCTAACTTCTTTTTATCAAGCGCCTTAATAAGCACACATAAACCTGCTATAGGTATATTAGTAATGCTTTTACATAAGATTGGATTAGCCATTAAGCAATATAAGCACATACATAGGGCATCAAGGAAAGGATACACTATAAAACAATTCCCAGGTATTCAGGAAAGGGGACACCAAAAAATTTCCCATTCTTGGTTTTGCCATGGAATGCATGGGGCAACTAATCCAAAACCGAGGGCGATAAGCGATAAGCGACGGAGGACGTGGGCACTGTTCCTTTACCATTTGGTTAATCAGTACAGCACCACGTCCCCCTTTATCTTACATTTTCATATTCATTATATATTACGATACAGATTTACCATTGCATTATATACTACATATCAATCAATACCTTATCCGAACTTACATAACTTCACATCAACACATACATTAAAATTCTTTTCTAATAAACCCTATATTGGTACATTATAAAAGGGTTATTTTACAGGATTCGCATTAGACACACCGGATACGCATTATATTATCATTATACCACGTACACATTACATTATATACGGGGAAATTAATGATACATAGGAACATTATACGCAGTAGGGGGTTATAAACACGATACGGGTTAGATTATTCACAGGAAATTATTTATACACAGGTATTGCATTATACAGGATAAATTATTCACATAATATTCTTCTCGATACACTGCCTACATCGTTATGCATAAAACCGAGGGCGAGGAGGAATAAAGAAAAAACTGGTTAAGCTTATGCGGGGGCACCAGAATCTTTGAAGTGCTTAGGGTCTCTGTAGATTATAATCCGGCTCTGCAATCCCCTCGCTATAAAATTACTGTTTTACTCTTCTTCTCTTAAAAGTTAATTTTACCCACCTAGTATAAACCTTGCTTCAAGACTCTGCTGATCAAGCACTTTATCCAAAAACGACACCCGCTCTCATCTGTTTGGCAACCGCTGTAGTAATCGGAATTAAACCGAATCGGAGATAAAACAGCGGACGTACGTGGGAGTAGGAAGTGCTACTCGTTGGAAGAATGAGCATCACGGCCGTCATCTTGAAGGTGAACATTTAGAATTTGCTCCAAGTTAAGTGAGAAGAGTATATGATACAATAAGTTGTTAGAAATTTCTCAAAAACACATTGCTATAATTAGTATGTAACATCTACGTGTGAAATAACTTAATATTATCACCTAATGATTATGTATAAAAGTTAGTACATAAACACTTTGCGATTTATTGCTCCTGCTTTGTGCATTATTCTCAACGCAATATGTAACCAAATGTAAAATTTAAACAGAAATTTATTAGCGACTACTGGTTGGTTTTACGAAAATTAAAGCAAAGACAACTGTAATTAAGCCGAAAGGTTTTTTTTTTGGGGGGGGGGGAACTTACGGAATTTGATTTTTTGGGGGGACAGCATAAACTAGTATTAAGCTCGTAACGAACGTTAAGCGAATTATTATGGTGCATGGAATGAACTGCAGAGCCTTAAAAATATTTAAACAAATTTTTTTATTTACATATTAGAATATAAACGCACTTTTGCGTTCACAGGATCAACCACTACTTGGGGCCACGCAAAGTAACAATCAAATTCAGTATTTAAAACTTCACATAGTAGTAGAGGACTACAAAATTTAATTTAGTTTGTAAGGTATTTCTCCCACCTTTTTTGCATGCCTTCGTGGTGTGGTGGTCTGCATGCTGGGCGCGTATTCCAGGGGTCCGTGGTTAGATTCTCGGCGAAGGCGTTGCATATTTTTCAACTTGCCTGCTTCCAAAAAATACCTAATGTCTCTACAAGTTGTCTCAAAAATTTTCACCGGCGTACCAACTTAAATTACGGCAGCTATAGTGTAAAGCTGAAGTGGCAAAAAGAAAAGAAGAAATTATAGTAAGGGCTGAATTAATAAATAACTGGTTAATTTAAATAATTATTCATACAAACTTGCAAAGCAAGTAACTTTTGCCTTCATAGTAAGATTCTGATGTTTACAGTAATAGCCTAAATGTCAAGTCTTTCAGTTCGCATCAACTCCTTTTGTGAGCGAGTATCATGACGAGCGAAGAAGAAACAGGATAGAATTTAACTTAAAACTAACTGTTGGTAAAACTTAAGAAATAATTGTCATAAGTGCTTTAATGTTTTTAATAGTTAAGAGGTAATGACTAAGAAGTTGAGATGCATGAATAGTTCATAGCTTGTTATTTCTTTATTCCAAATATGACAGCATGACATTCATAATCGAGGAAAAAAATGGTATGGTTGTTATTAGTAGTGGAAAATGCTTGCATGATATAGTGATGAATTAAACAGCCTTCTCTCATACACGCTTTCAGTACTGCTGATACGCAAATAAGTTATTTGGTATCTGTAAAGTTCAGTTGAACGGTTGTCATACACAAATAAATGATATCTGTATAATCTCAGCTTAAGCGAAATGTGCGTAACGATGATTGTGGTAGACAGTTTCGGTTTGCAGCACGGATTAAGCAGGAAATCTTTGTGAATTTCATGTTTCATGGAGAAATTTGTTAAAACTTGCTGTAAAACAACGAGTATAGCTTGTCATCAAGTTTTCATGCCATACCGTGCAATGATAAATTACTCTCGTCATGCAATTAAACTTATTGTTGAATATGATAATAACAGAGGAGTTACTATATTCCTCGAAACGAAACTTTAGAGATACGTAATTAAATAAAAATGATGTAGATCAACGAAAGCTATGCACAATTTCTCTTATTTCTCTCGCTGAACTGCATCATCTTGATGTAATTTCTTTCCCGAAACTTCGATTCGAAGAATATGGTTTCTCCTATTATTATCATATTCAACAGTAACTTCAGTCACTCAGTCACATAACGCCTGCAGCTCGTCTTGTTCGGTATTCCATGAAACCGACCACCTATTCTCGCCATGTGACTAAAGTTGTCAGGACTACTATTCCTTCTAATAGCCTTGGGAAACATTACTGGAGTCCTGAGTAGGAATAGGGAGCTTACTCAAACTATGTTCGTGTGTGCGTAGAAGATACAACACAAATAAGAAGGGTTCACAGCGTACAGCCGCTCCCACTCTTCGGGGTACAGAGACCAGTACTTTTGGTCTAAAACGTAGAAAATAAGAAATGATCTAACTTTACTAAATAAGAACTAAAATACTTTACAGAGACTATTAACTCGATGATTGGCCTTTTGACACTACGTATATAGTGAGCGAAATGCAAAATACTTTCAATACATCTTAGTTTATCAGCAGGAACTAAGTTCTGGCTTTAAAGGCAGACATGAACAGAAAAGCACGCGCTTGGTAAGGCAGCAAGAAGTCTCTCTCTTCTCTTGGCTAAAAGCCACTTCTTAAATACCTAGACAGTTTGCACCCTGATTAGTATAAACAATTCCTACTCGCGCTTATTCTGGCCTGAAATGGAAAATAAGAGAGGATAGCAAAGTTTTAAAAATAAAATAAACGTTAGTAAAACTTAAAATCCTTACAAAGTTACCGTTGATTATGATAATAATAGGGGGTTACCATATTCCTTGAAACGAAACTCTCGAGGTGAAGTTTTCTATAAAAGTTAAACGGTTATTTGATACAAAATAGTTCATTATCAAATCGTACCGGAAAGGATTAAGTGGCTTTTCCTTTTCTATTTAAATTCACCCTAATTTGTATACGTGTGAGGCAGACGGAATAAATAAAAGTCGCGAGAAAGACATAACAATAGCATACTAATTAAAATAAATCTTACACGGTAACTTTCTGAAAACATAAATTTAGTAATTACGAAGGAAACGAAATTAATAACGAAGTCAGCTTCTCAAGGTTTTATATCTTATATGTTCTTAGAAATGAATATTTTACTTATTGGGTGGGATCAGAATTTGAAACAAAATTCTCGTAGTACGAATTGTTGAAATTATATATGATTTAACAAAGATTAATATCAGGACCATAATTTTACAAAGATTTTTAGATTAAATGAGATAAAAGCCAGTCATTATAAAAGAGAATTTTAAAGCCAACATTCACCATGATTTTCTTTTTTACTAGATGCATAATAAAAATTAAATATTTTTTTATTATTTGTAGCGGATAATGAACTCCTCGAATGTTGTCCAGTAAACGAAGGAGATAGTGAAAACCTTCCTCAGTGCGATCCTATCATCATCCCAGCAGATGATCCTTTCTATAGTTCTTTTCAAGTAGATTGTCTCAACAATGTCCGTTCTGCAATGTGTTCAACATGTTCTTTAGGTAGGAATATTTACAATTAGTAGAAATAAAAAGATTCAAATATTTAAAGAGAGCTGTGAATGTGATAAAAGAAGTATTATTTTTATTAATAGCAATTGTATCATACAAAATCATTCTATGCATTCTTGGAAGTGTTATATAAATTGTTGGTAGAAGTTTTAAGGCACATGTTATAAATGTAATGAAGAGACTGTCGGTTGAAAGTTGATATTTAACCTTTTGATAGTCATAAAGGAGCTCAGCTCGCAGTCCAGTTATGTACCACTATGGACGCAAAGGAACTAGCTGGAAGCGGGTTCGCGTTACAAATCGACAGCTGATTAATAATAGGCGTATTTGGAAAGAAAGAATTGCTTGATCTCGCAACCGACAAAGGGTTAAAATTCTTGACTGAGTAATACATTACAAGAAAGAATATTAAATATATTTGACGTTGTTCAAAAATTTGTTAATTTGGGGAGAAAGTTCGTAAACAGTTTTTTTAAAGAAAATAAGTTCTTCATTGAGACACGCACTCTTTAAATTTCCTTTGGCGCATATGGCCGTTTCATATGCGCCAAAGTTGTTCTCAATTAGGTAACGTTAGGGAAGTTTTTCTGAATTGGTAAGTATCTTTCCGCAGAGAGATGAAAATCCTCTCGATAGAGAAAACAGAAAATGCTCTTGATAGAGAAAACAGAAAATGCTCTTGGAAGAACTGAAAAATCACAACAGAGGAGATTCTTTCTTTCTCTGTAACTGACACTAACTCTGGAGCTGCGTTCATTGTTTTGTTTGGGATTTCCTGGACTTGTCAAAAAGACTTCCTGAATTCTCATTTGTCGAAATTTTCAGAGCGTCTCTCGGTTGGCGAGAGCACTCTGATTTTTAGAATATAGAATGTTGACAGACCTTCGAAAATTTCCATGAGCATTTCCAGGCTACGACTTAGAACATGATCCGGGGGTCTACATCTACAGTGGTGGTAATCAAAAAGCAGTCTTTTCAACACTGCGTAGATGCAAGGGAAGAATGTAGATTTCGCAGCAACAATAAACAAAAGTAAACGTTATATCTTAAGTATATGTAAAACTGATTAGATAAATTAAAACGTTATGTTAATTATATTTCTTTAACAGTCGTTTTCAAGAGTAATTCTCTATTTACAGGTCCTCGTCAACAGATTAATCAATTGTCCGCTTACATTGACGCATCTCATATCTATGCATTAAGTCAGAACGAATCACGTGCTTTGAGGAATTTAGACGGCACAGGTGAGACAACTTTTTTTATATTAAAGTTTTTAAAAAGTGTGGAAATGAATTTGCCATTGCTATTTAAAAAACACGAGAAATTGCAAAATATTGCAGTAACCTGTGTTTCGTTACGTCCGAGATATGTAGTTTTTGTTTTACGAAAATCGAAATCTTACAGAATTAAAAGTCAAAAATGAAATTTTACATTTATTCGTGAAACTAATTAGCTAAATAAGAAAAAAATGAAAAAGTATATAAATAATTATTTTTTAAACTTAAATATGATTAAATTAACTGCTTTCTATCCATAACTGATGTGTTATAGGTAATAAAATATCTTTTAGAATTTCTGCTATTAACCGCATTACGAAGACTTTGAATATACAATACAATACTTGTATATTCTTACGAATGTTTTGTGACAAAATATTAATACTTTAAGACTCTTTGTGACACCAACATGAGTGGTGTAAAAGGTGTTACTTGGCCACTGCAAAAGGTTGATTATGAATTACCGTAGTATCCATCAATGAGCTCGTCTTTTGGAATGTCTTTAAATGGCATTTTAGAGAAGCTTTCGAATAATAAGTTTGGCTCCAAAGCTGATGTAGAAGTGCTCGCGGCTTCATATGGATAAAAGAATTTGAAAATATGAATATGGATTTATTTGTTATGTTAGATAGCATGCGTAGCGTAAATTTACGTAAACTCTTCTCTGCTATTATCGTTAACATCATTTTGTATTCATGATTAGTTTCACCTTTTCCGTTTGTCAAATTACATTCTCTATCACTTGGGCCTCTAGTGTAGCTAGAACGGGGGCCAGAGTGAGTTGTCCGCCCGGGAAGGTGCGCAATTTTCGTGTAAATGGTCAAGAAACAAAGAATAATGAAATTCTGAATTGCATACTGAATCAAATTTAAGAAAACATTTAAAAAGTATTTCATGAGTTCTATTTCCAATATTGATGGGAAAAACGAACCAGCACGTGGAGGAGCGGTTTTTTTGAATTTTTGCAATTTATTCCAAAATACAGTCTCTAGAACAAAGTCCCAAATATTGTAATACTATTAAAATTTTTCCTCATAATTGCTTAAGGGCTGCTGGTTGTGAGATGAGTTTTCTAGTTATAAATAACTTTTTTAGAGAGTATATTAGAACTATGCACGTTTATTTTGCACTTGACAAGTATGTAAGAGCTATAAGTTTTTATTTTACACTCAAGAAGTCTTTCTATACTGTCTACATTACAGCGACTAGAGCAGTCAAGTACATCTGTACCATGATTTAGAAAATAATAATAATAATATAAATTTAAAATGTTGGAAATAAAAGTTTTCTTCAAAAATAAACATAGAGTTTTAATTATTTCCCTGTATGTCATTTTGACATTTATTAGCTATTTGTCTGCATATCAAAAGAGGCGGCAAATTTAAGGACAGCCGAATTTCGGGCCATGAAAGCTCTACCACGGTTCGCGTGGAATACTTTGACAAATTTCTTGCTATAATAGAGAGCATAGCTGTCTGACTAACATTAGTAGTGGCTTTCGCTGCATCATCGTAATGCACATCTTTTTCTATTTTCTCTTTGAACTCTGCAACAGATCCAAAGAATTCAAGTTTGCCTTATTAAATACAAAACGAGGGGAACTTGATATGGGATTTGTTCCTTGGAGAGCGAGAGGCACAATATTGGGAAAGCGATCACTATTGTAAAGATCATTACCAATTGTAAAAGTACAAAAGCGCAAGAGTGATATTGAGCAGATGAGAAAATTAAGCGCTTGGAAAACTAATATTCTGATATTTAAACTTATATGGCAACAGCCTGGAGATTCATTGTTAAAGAGAATGAACTGGAGGCAGAGTCAAGCGGAATGAGGAGACAAAGACCTCCACTATCACTCTCATCTGTAAGATTGGTCTCTACTCGTGATGGAAAAACTCCGAATCTTAGTTTATTGCTTTAGTTTCAGTAGAGTTACCTGCACTGCCAAGCGCTCAGGGTGATGTGCATTACGTCAATGATATCTTTGATGTTAATGAGATTTTGGTGGAAACCGCAACATTCTATGAAATGAGAGTGGCCATTATGTATGTAAATTGTTTATTCTTCCTGTACTTTTATTTTTCGTGGAAGTAGATGATACTTCGGGATATCTAGCTTCGGTTCCATTTCAATTCAGAATCTATATTTTCAGAGCTAAAACTACCAAACGAGCTCGCACTTTGACTCCTTGAAGATATGGCAATTTGCGGTTTTTAGATTTATAGATTCTGCCTCGATGTTTCTTATTATTTTTTTTATTTGGTGCGTTTTCTGCCGTTTTTTTTCACTGCTTTTAACTGTAAATTTTGATTTGCCTGATTTTTTAGTGTACTTAAAGTAGTTTAGACGCCTGTGGATTTTAGTGATTTTACTAACTCTGCATAAGGCACATTTTTACACGGCTGTATTTCTGATACTAATCGCCTTGCTTCGGCATACGGGAACATTTTTTGTTCTTTTATAGTTTAAACTTCTTTTTTCAAATTTCGATTTTGGGTATATTCGCAAGAATTATATTTTTGATCTCCTTTGGATTTGATACATAGTATCTCTGCAATGCAATTCTTACTGTCCTGGCCTTCCGCAGGGCATCTTCGAGTGGCCGAAGGACTGACACTGAAAGCATCGTAAGGAACTCGGGATATAAGGTCTCCAGGGCAGGGTCTCCATCCAGACTTAATACCTTTCACAAGATCAGGCGAATGAAAGACCAAAATTACGTATTGATCAAGGTTTCGTATTGATCAGTTTACCTCCTTTGCGCATTTTGATCCGCCTAGCAGCAAAAACATTCTGGTCCGATAACTCAGAGACAATTTTCTCTTTTGATACGGCGAGAAAGTCGATCTCTGAGGTAACACAATAACAAAAATTGATTGTTTTATGCGCTGACACATTGCCATCGACTTGCCCTAATTTCGTTAATCCAAGGAGTGTAATGTATTCTCTGGAGAGATGGTTTACTTTAAAAGGTCACCAGAGCGCACCTATTTCATACGGTTTGAGTCTCCAATGCAGGCTTAAATGTATTTATTAATCCAAAATGGGGATCATATGCCCAAGCCACCTACCCCAAAATCTAGTGACCAACTGATTGACATTAGTAGAGACGACCAAGTTTCCCCCAATTCAGTCTGAAGCAGAGATCAAAGTAGTGTGTTGGGTACAGTAACTCGCCCCTCAACTATCAGGACACTTCTTTCTAACCTTCTTGGTCACAATGCACGACAGATACATAGGTGATTGTCTCTACATGAGAAACTAGAAAAATCCATAAGGGAGGAATAAATGGAAAAAGAACAAACAGATAAGAAGAAATGAAAAGGAAAACCGAAAAGATCACTAGCCCTCAGGATTGAATCTCCATCTCACCAAGATGGTGATCCTTTGAAAAGCTAGGTTATCTCGGGATTGCCACACCCGTACTCAGAAAGAGTATGCTTCTGAGGGTAACGTATTTACAAAAACAAATGGTGATGAACGGATGATTCTGTGATGCTTACATGTCATCATAATATTAAAAGAAATAGCTGGATGCAATATCACAAGCAGTAGTTAACAAATGGTTATTTTTCGGGGGCCAATTAGACTCTGAAAATTTACCGAGTGATAGATCTTGAAAATACGTACATGCTTTTTTCTTTCAGATGGATTCTTTATATAAAAAATTATCGAAATAGTTTTTGTCATTATAAAACGCCACATATGATTGGGTTTGACAGAACCCTTTTGATGCTTGCGTATTTATACAGGAGGTAATTCGTAGTATTTTCTTGCATTCTAAGGCACTTCCACATTGGGCCAGGTGATAGGTTTTCCCGTAGTAAACCTCGGAAAAATAGGCATCAGATAGAGAAAAATAGATCGAAGAATATTTTCCTCTAAAAACCTAACATGGACTGTAGAACAGTAATGCTGCCCGAATAGGCTGGAAAGGTGGGAAAGTCATTTGGTTAAACACAGAAACAATGTATAAAAATATGAAATTACTTGGTGTGATGCGAGAAAAGTAATAAAGTTAAATAAAGAAGGTTTAAAGGTTGTTATCACTTGGGTTCTCAGTGGGGTCACGTGGGCTCAATTGTCTAGTCAAGTGAGGTATAAATATTGAATCTGAATGACTATGTTAATAAGAAGTTCAGTGGAAAATAACAAGTACTTGCAGCACAAAAGTTAAATGGTGATGTGCAATACAAATAAAATATTATATGTAATGACAAGGGAAAAATCAGAAAATGCAGGTGTAATTTAATTATGACTTTCAGTAAAGTTTTAATAGTTACGTGCTTACGTAGCCACTCAGCAGATCAGAGAACAAAAATAAATTTCACGATACGAAAAATACATGTACAGTAGGAAATGAAAAAGCTCTTGAAGAATGAGCTCTCAATCACTATAGATGATGAAAAATTATGACAACTAAAATAAAATTTACAGTAGTAGATTACAACTTGTATTATAATCTAGTGGTACCGCACAGAAATATTTCAGTACGATCACGTGGGATCATTATTCACTCGGGAGAGAAGTATGAACAGAGTCCAAGCATTATGACGTATATTTTAGTCTTTTTCTTCACATAAACTAGTAAGAAATAAGTTGATTAAATGTTTTATTGCAGGAACTATGAGATTTGTAACTGTTAGAGAGGCTGGAGAATTACCTCCTCCAAGTTCCATTCCAAATGAGGATCAGTGCAGTTTTCAAGAAGAGAACTTAGATTGTTTTGAAACAGGTAAATTTAAAAGAAGTTAAAAGAAATATATACTTCACGAAATTTATTTTGTAGTTTTATAAAGCATACTTGTTTTATTTAAATTTCAACAGTTCTTCAGGCAACTGTATAATAATTCTTCAGTTTTAACAAGTTAACATCGCCCTTTTCATATGCTGTTTTTTCCCTGTGTTCCAACAGTTTTTATTAACAAATTGAGATTTTTTTTTTGTCTTTGACTGAATTTTCAGGCATACACTAGTGGCATTTATTTACAGTGGAAGGAACTGAGGTAAAATTTCTGCAGGAATACAGTATTTTACTACAGAATTATTAAAAGGAGCAATTGCTTCGAATCTATTCTTAAAGCGATCACCACGAAATTTCCTTCACAACTAAAGAAACAAAAACAACAACAACAACAAAAAAAACTTTTATTAATTAAGTACATTGTTTGGTTTCCGGGATAAAACCCAACCAAAAAGTAAAATATACGTGTTATATTGTGAACACTACAATACGTTTAATTTATCAAGAGAGGATTAAAACCTCTGGCCTGGAAGGCAAATAGCAACTGCGTAACTTCTAAGGTAAGCGGCCTGCGTTGACTTACTGTTTCCTCTCTCTCTTGCTTGGCAAAAAGCCACAACTTAAGTACTTGGCGTTCGCCAGACAAACTTTGAATAAAATCCTTCACGCTTATAATTCTGGCCGGAAGTAGAAAATAAGAAATTGATAGTAAAGATTTAAAATAAAATAAACGTTAGTAAAACTTAAGATCCTTACAATATATGTATGTATATAAATATGTGTTCAAATGTATGTAAATATGTACGTATGCAATTAATAATTCTTTGCAATTACATGTCATCATTCTTTTTCTTTCATAAAAAATTGCCAAACTTCGATAATATCTATAAATATCCAACAAATTGGAAAAGTTACAATGTACCGTTTCTGACATCAAAAATGCTGTGCCAGTGACATGTATTTTGCTATCTATCTATGAATCTATCTCACCTTCGTTAATCATCATTTAATATATTATTCACCTTAAGGTCTTTAAATTATAAGTATATTTTAAACCGCATAACGTGCTTTTTTATACATCTGTATTCGAAGGATGAATTAAAAGGCATTTAAAACTTTTCCTAATTTTCATGAGTCTTAATATTCAAATAGCTAAACAAATCCTTAGTTACTTAATAAAGTTCCTAAATTAATACATTTTTACTTTCCTCTAACCTATATATGTAAGTAAGGGAAGTATTATTTTCGATCCAAAAACTCAATAGTGGGTTTTCAGTAGATGAGCACGAATCAAGTTTCCACAACACGTTTTTACTATTTTTTAAAAGATTTCTGTGTGTTTATCTGTGTGGGACGATTCTTTCGTCTACGATAACTGGTATGTCAAACTTCCAAAAATTTCTGTTTTTAGGATTTAAGCTTTCTACATTCATATAAAGAGCTAATTAGATTTATGATGAAATTAGACAACAGAAAGCGGTACTTTATTTGAACCCCGCTACAGTTTTAGATGAAAACTTATATTAATATACAATTCAAAACATTTAAGTATTAGTATTTTAGATTTTTATATCAATGGGAACAATGATTTTAGCCAAAATCTTATAAACTGGAAGTCATGCTTCACTTGGATCTTTCTACAGATTTTCGTGAAACTAAATATTATGATATAATCCAAAATTTCCGAAATTTGGTATTTAAATCTCATATATGATTGACATGGTAGATTCTGATTATATATGATAAACCGGAAGTAGTACTTGGCTCTCTTAGCAGATATTCGAGTTTCATGGGAAAAAAAGGAATCATTATAACAAGAGTCTGGCAGACAAATTGGTGACATTGTACTGTTCGGTGACTAGTTCCGCTACATTCAAACTGCACATTCAAAAAATATAACCTTCGTTTCAAGTGTGGTTTTAAGTTTCAAAAATGCCAGTCAGGGAAGATTTTATCTTGGGGCAAAATTGTATTTATACAATATTTGAGATTTTTAAATTATGCTAACTAAGTATTATGGTTTTGATATTTACTTTATAAGGTATTTCTCCCTTCTTCTTGGCATGCCGTGGTGTGGTTGTCTGCACACAGGGCGCGTATTCCAGAGATCCGCGGTTCGATTCCCGGCGAAGGCGCTGCTAATTTTTCAATCTCTCTTGCTTCCAAAAAATCGTAATGTCTCTACAACTTTAATTTCTTTCTGTATTTTTCTTCTGAATGAAAATTAGCTTGTGATATATTTAAACTGAGAGTAAGAGATCTTAGAGAGAGAGAGAGAGAGTTTCTGGCATACGCCTAGCATTATTTGAATTCTGACAGCTCTAGCTAAATGTAATTAACTTGCCTTTGAATTCTATCGCGGCCGACACTTTAAGGTTATACGCCGGTAAATTATTTGAGCCAGCATAGCTGAGTTATTTAACTTTGCAGTCTTGGACTACCGATTAGCGCTTAAATTTATTTGACGTTTTTATTTAATTTACTTTAGCATACGTAGTGGTTATCTGTAGAGCACAAACCGTGCCTTTTATGTTAAAAGTTCAGTTTAATATAAAGGTTGTTTAAGCCTCTGCAAGTCTTTACTATTCTATAGCGATAACTCACTACCTATCTAGTAAGGTTGCAAGACTTAATCAGACCAACTATAACTTCATGAATTTTGTTTTATAAAATATAATTTTTAATAAAAAAGGGGGTAAACATTTAAACTCTGCCAGCCAGTTGGTAAAAATTTAAAAAAGAAACAGTTTTTACACGTGGCCAATTTTATATAATAAAGTATAATCCAAAATTTTGGATTACAGACTTTTTTATTTATTAGAACAACTAGTTAGATTTTGTTTCCAAACCATCAACCAGAAGAGGTACTTCATGTAAAGTTCGTTGCATTTAAAACATGGAATTACCGGCAGGTAATGTGCTGGCCACATCACATTTTTTCATATAATTTTTTTAACAATTTGCAGTGTTATCCAATGATGAATTTCTTAATATTTACTTCCACCTTTCCCGAAGGCATTCCTCCCCTTAGGCAGATAGCCCTCGAGGCTTTGCCGTAATCACACACACACACTTCCACCTCCCCCCGGTGCAAGACCGAATTTATACGATCATGAGATTTTGTTTTGTCCCTTGATATATATTAAATTATAATATTAAATATTTTGCTTTCTTACTTTTTTAATAATGTAAATATCATCTTAATGAACGAAATTTTAGGAAAACAGAGATTAAAATAAGTAATTATAAAATTTAACTAATAAAAGCTGTATAAATACAGGTCTTGATGAGCAGATACAAATGGCGCTGCTACTCAAAGCGCTAGACAGATAGCGAAAGCCCTTGTGTGTTATAGCACATTTGAATAACCTAAGGTCTTAATATTTATATTTTAATTTAATTTAAGATGTTATCTAAAATATCATGCGATCTTAGTTTTAATAAATACTCTTTTTTATTTACATACTCTTGGCTGTAAATTAATGTCTTTTATCATTTAGGTGACCAGAGAGCCAATCAGCATCCTGCACTCACGTCACTCCACATTTTGTTTTTAAGAGAACACAATAGAATTGCCAGACGACTGAGGGAAATCAACAGGAGCTGGGATGATGAAAGACTTTATCAGGAAGCAAGGTAAGATTAATGAAAGGGCCAATAATAACGTTTACAAAAGCTTTAAATTAATATTTTATACCTGCCATATTAAAATTACTTAATGATAATAAGATTTTTAACTAAGAGCAGTAAAAATAGTGACATTATCAATCAATTTAAAGAAACTTCCTTAAAGGGCTTTCTCAACCGGATGCCTTCTGGGATAGAGGCGAGCACTAAAGTTGGTTCCAAAAAGAAAAAATCATTATTGTGATCAATTTTTTTTTATTTTAGAAGTGAAATCCTAGCCAGCTATAAAATAGCCAGCTATTTAATGCATCAGGCTAATCGGTGGATTAATAATAGCAAACACTCAATTACGTCCGATAGTTAAAGATGAAACTCCATTTTTTTATCCCAATGACTTTCGAACAATAAAACTTTATCAAGACAAAAAGACAATTCATACTTCGAAAAGTATTACTGCATTCCTTGAGAAAAAAATAAGATTTATATAAGTATTGTATATACATCTTTTCAACGTATTCCTGCCAAGTAATCCGTTGACATTTACGTATGGACGATTATTCCGTTAGTCGTTTGAGAAGAGCTCTCTCTAAACGCAACCCCATCCAACTGATAGAGTGTAATGGAAGAGGAATAGAAATCAGTGCCCTTCGAAATTTTGCGAAAAGCTCTTCTGTAATGGAAATCACTAGGCAGACTAGAAGAAAGGCTATCATAACAAAGATTTAAAAAAATGCTCTGTATATTTTAAACATAAATTAAACGGTCTCGAAATCGTTCTAAAAATGTGGAAACACCGTCTGTAGTACACAGTTGTCTCGTTTCTCGCTAGGATTCTTTTTAATAAATAACTTAATGGATTATTTATCTTTCCAAATGATATTTCATTACAACATTCTTATTTATTTGCTAATTTCTTCTTCTTATTATTATTATTACATTTATTTCTGTAGGAGAATCATTGGTGCCATTATTCAGAAGATAACTTACGGCGAGTATTTACCACTAGTCGTTGGCCCAGAACGTATGGAATGGTTCGACTTGTCACTGAGGCGTTCTGGTTTCACAGAGTATGATGAAACCACTCAGGCGACTTTGGTAAATGAGTTTTCAACAGCAGCATTCAGGTTCGGACATTCTATGATCAACAGTTTCTTTCCGGAAATATCGAGTGGGTCGAATTCAGGGAACAGATTGAGAACAATATTCCAGTATCCATTTGGACTTTACAGAGGACAACTTGAAGGCATTGTGAATGGCTTAGCTCAGTCTCCATCGCAAAAATTTGATAGGTAAATACAAGTTTGTTTTCTTTGTTGTTTAGTTTCGGAGACACAAAATTTAATTTGCATGATAATGAATTTAAATGGGTTAGCGGTTTGCATTCTTGTGTGAAGCAAATAAAAGCTAAAGCGCAAATAGGAGCTAAAACTCAAAAACTGTCAAATTATATTAAATTCTTAAAGAAAATAATTCATCACTTAAAAAAATTGAGTATTATTGTTTTCAAATATGAAGTAAATGAAACTGTTACTTAAAAAGTTGATTATAGTTTAAAAGAATTATTATCAAATTTGTTACATTACAGATGAAGGAAAGATTCTTCTTCTTCATAAGCTCCACAGCCTGTTACAATCCAAGGCTGTCTCTCCAAGTTACCTCCACCTGACCCCATTCGGCCCAAAAGTCCTTAATCGGTTAACTCCAATTAACCTTAAATCCTCCTCGACATCATCTATCCATCTGGTGGGTTGTCTTCCATCTTGTCTTACTCCTTCAATTCTCGAAAAGGTTATCTTTCTGGTTGGAAATGCATCATCATGTCTAAACACATGGCACAGCCATCTGATACGAGATGCTTTTATGATTCTCACAAAGCATCTTTAAAAAGTGTCCTTAATTTTGCCCATTGTTCTCGAATATGTATCTTCTCTTTGCCTGAAGGGAAAAAAACATATTTACAATAACGCTTTTCTAAAATAGAAAAATTCGAGATTATACTTAAAAACTATGAAAAGCGGTGTTATGTTTTTTATTTATAGCAAGCAGAAAAAGCACATTCTTTTAATATTGGATATTTGTAAATCTATAGTGTCTTTCCGGCATGAGGGGGCACTTTAAATATATGGCGAGCCGAAATGCCTCCCGTGTGAATTGTGGTAGGGCAGAGGGGTGAGAGAACCTCAGGTCATCCCCCCCTCCAGGATGCTGTTCCTCAAAACTGAAGTGGAAATAGAAGTCCAACCTCCTTAAGTCTCTGGCAATCATTCTTCCATCAAATTCATGGGCAAGACAACAACAACAACAATTTCAAGTGAAGATGAAGGATTTTTGAATAGATGAATTTGTTTGAGTTTATAGAAAACTTACTACTGGTGTTGTTCAAAATAATGGAAAAGCCGAAAATGCGAAGAATTTTGTACCTAATATAATGTATAAACATCTTTGATACACAAAAAGTGCTTTTTGATATGGAGGCACACAAGCTCTGAATAATGTGTGACATCCCTGTCTTCAGAGATGAAGAAACATTAGACAGGTGGTTGTCTTTTAAGAATTTCTTTAAAACCTTTGTAGAGACATTAGGTATTTTGGATGCAGGAAAGATGAAAGATTAACAGAGCCTTCACCGGGAATCGAACCGCGGACCTCTGGAATACCGGCCCAGTGTGCAGACCATCACACCAAGAAGGTGGGAGAAATACTTTATAACTTTACAATTAAATTTCATGATAAAACAAAGCCAGAAATAAAGATCAAAGGAACAACGTCACGGCCTTTTTTACAAAGGGAAAAATCCCCACAAACGTGTGAACTCGTCTTTTCATTCCAGCTCACAAAATATTCTCTTTTAGCTTCTTTTTTTCCTTTAACGAGTGACGGAAACGAGCAGGTAAGAAGTTCAAACTCTTCTTCTTTGAGAAATTTCACTTCTGTTTAGGAAGAATTCCTTCAAGCTGAGCAGACTGTTAGTTTTTATCTCATGGAAACAAAAATCTGCAATTGCCAGCATATGCTGTAACAGAGACAGTAATAGGCTTGTAGAGGCATTGGGTATTTTTGGAAGCAGGCAAGATGAAAAATTAGCAACGTCTTCGCCGGGAATCGAAACACGGACCTCTGAAATACCGGCTCAGTGTGCTGACCACTACACCACGAAGGCACGCTAGGAAGGCGGGAGAAGCGACTGGGGTTTTCAGGGGACCCAGTCGTCAAATCCTGGGTGTAGAGAATTCTCATCCAACACCCTTTTAGTTCGGGCGCCACTGTAGAGACATTAGGTATTTTTTTGGAAGCAGAAGAAATGAAAAATTAGCAATCGCCTTCGCCGAGAATCGAACCACGGACCTCTGGAATACCGCCTCAGCGTGCGGAACCACTACACCACGAAGGCACGCTAGGAAGGCAGAAAAAGTACTTTATAAGTACTTGTAAAAAAATAAATAATACCTTACATACTCCCCTTTTTAAAGGGCGACTGGGATTTTTAGGGGACCCAGTCGCCAAATCCTCGGTGTGGAGAATCCTTGTCCAACACCCTTTTAGTGCGGGCGCCCCTACACCACGAAATCCTTCGACGGGAATCGAACCGCGGACCTCTGAAATACCGGCTCAGTGTGCTGACCACTAGACTACGAAGGCACGCTAGGAAGACAGGAGAAATAGCTTACAGGCTGTTTTACACCTTTCTTCTGTCAGAAACTGGTCTAATTATTTGACAAATGCTGAAAAGGGAAAATGGGATGTCATAGTATTTTCCAGCATGGACCATAATGATTCAACGATATTTGAGTCTGGTAATTCTGCAGGCCAGAAAGTTGGATAACTTAATTTTTATATTTTCAAACTACGAATGGGCCATTCGGTTTCGGCAGATGAAGGTATTATGAACTTGGAGGACTCATTTACCTGTAGGAAAGAATGTTTACAAGACTGAATGAACATGGTTGCTTAAAATGCTTATGATATATTTCCTTATAAGGTGATAGTTAGAATTGCTGGAAGGCACACTATAACTGCCCTAAAATATTCTAATCGCCACAAATGTCTTGTGAAGGCAACAGACAGTTTGGATTGTAAGCTTTTGTTGGTATTTTCCACTCACTAACTCGTCTTGTGATGGGAAATAGGGCGAAAGGGCAGTAATCTAAAAACATTATCTGATCCATTGATCAACCATTGCGTTTGTCCAATCATTCAATTGATCATCTTTCTTCCATGCATTTTATATTATTTTTTAAACAAAAGGTTCTGATATCGCAGCTCTGCCTAATACTTTCTGCTTATGTAGTTCTCTTCATTCAGTACGTGTGGGGAAGATCTGTAATTGTATATTATGCGAATTTTTCTCAGTAAACTTTCTTTTTGTCGTAATAATCCCATTCAAACCCTGGTGGCTGTATTAGTAAGTTTCGGTTTCCTACTGCAATTTGTCTCGAGGATGAAGTTTTGCAAATATTACTGTATGCTATCAGAATTTTCGATACAATATTTCTTGATATCCCAATATTTTTAGAACTGAGGTTGCAGATCAATACGAGAACGAGATGCAAAAGCTTAACGTCTTTGAAACTTAAGTCACGCTAATGCTGTCACTTTGAACTAAGTAGACTACTCGACATTCGAAATGCAACACCAAGAAGGAGTGCCCCGACAATGATGCAAATTTCAGGGTAGACGAAAGTCACCGAGTTATGCAAATAATATGAATTTCGCTTTTCATGCCGTTATTTCTGCTAGGGAAATCGGAGAAAATTTGTTTCTGTCTCAGAGGACGAGTGTAATAGCAAAGAATGTCAGCCGTCGTCAACGGAGGCAGTTCCAGCAGACAGACGATTTTACGAGGGGTATGATGATCGGACTGAGAAGGGCAGATTGATCTATACGGCAGATCTCAGCTGACACACACCTGGACGCGTCCACAGTGCACTGGCTGTGGAAAAGTTAGTTGGAACAAAGAAATGTAACAAGTTCGAGGGGTGACGCCAGAGTGACGACAGGACGCGTGGATCGACGCATCCGCCAACTAGCCGTGGCGGACCCGCAAGCCATTTCTACCTCCATCCTGCAGCATGTTCAAGACACTAGATATCAACCAGAACCATTTGTCATCGATTGGTGACTAGCGGCCTGCATTCGTGGCGTCAGTTAAAAAGACGGGCATTGACCCCAAATCATACACGCCAACGTCTGCAATGGGGGCCGAATGGCATAAGGTCCTGTTCTCAGATGCGTCTCGGGTCTGTTTTTTCAATGATAGTCGCTGCGTACGAGTGTGGCGTTGATGTGAATACAGGTCCAATCCGTCAGCAATTGTGGAACCACCGCACGAAAGCGCGGCATTATGGTTTTGGGCGCAGTTCCATTCGATTCCAGGCCACTTCTAGTTCATATTCAGGGCGATCCAGCGATGCGTGGATAATGTGTTGCGGCCAGTGACACTGCCCTACCTTCAGAAGTTCAGAGTGCAGGATAACGCCCGAGTATACACTGCTCGCGTCAGTCAACGTGCCCTGAAAGTTGTACACACGGCTTCCCTAGTGACCGTTCTCTTCTGATATCTCACCAATCGAACACATTTGAGATGTTATTAGCGAACAACGAACTGTGGCAAATGGTTCACAGGGAATGGAGAGCCATTCCTCAGGGCACCATCCGTAGTCTCATTGACTCTGTACCTAGATGTGTTGCTTCATGTATCCCCGTCCAAGGTAGTTCTATAACCTACTAAGTTGACGCTGTGCTCGCTCTGTATTATGCATATAATTTCAAAATAAAGATTACTTATTGTTCGTTGCTGTCTCTTTCTATTTTCCGAGTTTCGTCACTTTCTGGCATTCCTTCTTGGCGTTGCATTTTCTATGTCGGATAGTGTACTTTTAACTAAAATTGAAATAAGTTAATTTTACACATCTTTGAGAATATAAAAAACAACTGACAGCTACTTTTAAGTATTATTGTGTAATCGATAGAAACAAAATTAGTCTTTTAAGTGTAATGTTTTTTGCATTTTAGATTACCGCTGTACCTACGTGTTCTTGATCGACTTTAAAAAAATTAGCTTATTTATTCTCTTTACGCTCATGAGAAGAAAAATTACGGTAGTGTAAAATAGAGTTTGAAAAGCAACATTGAGCAATTTTCTCTATCAGCCATTATCGGTGTAAATAGTCAAATGACAGTCTACAGAAAGTTAAAATATGCTTATGCTTGCAATATCAGATATTTTGCTCACAGTTTATTCTAATTCGTTCCAGATATATGGTTCGAGATGTGACTAATCATCTGTACCAAAACCGTAATAGTACAAACGGCTTGGATCTCGCTTCTTTAAATATCAACAGGGGTCGTGATCATGGGATACCTGGATACACCACTTTGGTCGAATTCTGCGGAGGACCCCAAATCACTTCGTGGAGACAGTTAGACCGATTATTCCAAAGAGGTGTTCGCCCATTGTTTGAAAGACTGTATGAGTAAGTATTTACCCAGTCATTCAGATACATGTTATGTTTTTCTGTAACTTTAAGCATATTAAGATCATTCATTTTTAAAGTGTTTTTGACAGTTACTAAGTAATAATTTTCATAATTTTGTCCCCAAACTCTTAGTTTTGTCGTCTTTTGAAGCGCAGGATTCTAAAAATTCAAATAGAGTCATTCGGGAAGTTTTGCGGTTTTAAGTAGACGTGTATCTTCATGCAGTTATTTTATTGATACTGATAAAGAGTAACCTTGACTGAAAAAGATGCGTAAATAGGGTCTTTTCTGCTCACGTTGCAAAATTCTAGCAAGTGTTGTGACATAATTTTTGTTTTAATGCTGCGTTGAGTATGAAGAACTTAAAACTTCATTTTCGTCATATTATGCCCTTTTATGCGAACAAACATCTGTTAAAAGAAGCTCTCTCTGAAAATCCATGTTACACATATCAGGAACTATCAGACTAACTAACAGGTACCATGTATGATCATTTGATCCAAACAGGTACCATGTATGATCATTTGGAGAAAATTGGGTATGTAAGCTGTATGTTGCAGGGATACCACATACTTCAGGAAAGCAGAATATGCTTGCTAGAAGTTTGGCATGTGACTCTAACTGAAATGAAATAAAGAAAAACTTTTATTGAGAAAGCTTCTTACTGCTAATGACAAGTGGATATGAACCTACTTTAGTGACATTGAGAGGGCGTTTGCATCCAAAAATGTAATGTTTTGTGGTGAGACTATAAAGAGATTGTATATTATGGACTCTTGCCATCAAATCAGACAATAAACTCGGAAAACTGTTCTTAAATGGCAGTTTTAAAATCAGAAATCAAAGCATATCACCCAAAACACACCAGTCCTGCAGGTATCAAGATAATTTTCGGTCCCACATAGCGATTAATGTCAGAGAAGGACTTATTAAGTTTAGCTGAGATGTCTTGTGTCATTCTTCATATTCGACACATCTTTTTTCTTCGGATTTTCGTCTCGTTCAGTCATTTCGAAATTCCTTGAAAGGCCTGGAGTTTCCTTCTTTGAAGACTGTCAAATGGCAGTTCTATGCGTTCTTTGCGAAGAAATAAAATGACGTTTCAAAAAAAGAAATTTTTCCCTTGCCTGAAAGGTGTCAAAAAGTCACAATATAATGCGTTTCGTATGTAATTCGATGAAAGTTTTTATGTTTTCGCACTGTTTCATTTACATTTATCATCAAAAGACCACAGAATGTTTCGCATGACCCAATATTATAATTTTTTACAAGAGTATAATTTTATGAATTAAAACAAATTTTATTTTCAACTTAATTTCACTTTTCTATCTTTAAGTTCCAATCATGTAACCCACATCCGGGAACTGATAAATAGTTAAATAGTAATTAACTGCCGGAGAGAAAGCAAAAAGTCATAGAAGAAAACGGTTGCATGTGAGATTCAGTAAAATTTTCTCAAGTTCTTATACTACTTCACTTTTATTAAAATCAATTTATTAGAGGGAAATTGTATTTTGAAATTTTTTTGTTCATCTTAATATCTCCATATATTAAGTCTATTAAGTATAATATTAAGTCACTAGATATATACTTAAGACATGAATCAGGACTTTATGCTTTAATATGTACTGAGACCAAAGGTGTTTTTAAGTAAATTTAACATTTAGAATTGTTTTGTTCTGATACTTTATATCTTACCAGCTAGAATTGAAAAGAAAATTTAAAAAAAAAATAAAATAAAATATGAAAGCCTCCAGATTTTATATTGCACCTAAACGGGCGTTTTTTTTTTCATTTACAGACCAGGGTTCGTACATATTTCTGCACACGGAAATTAATTACTTTTAAGGACCAGTAATGGAAAAAAATTAAGGAACTATAAGCAAATGAGAAATGAATAAATTAAATTAAAAATATTATTTATGCCTTAACTTCTTTTGTAATAACATCCTAAAAATAAAATAGAACCGTAAATATGATGCATTATTATTAAATATAACTTAATTAACCTAATTATTAATAAGTTAGAGCATAAAATAAACTTAATGAAATTTATCAAGTAGTATTAAATATTTTATACTTCTAATAATTGGACATATTTGAAAGAAGATAAGTGACATTTTATTTAGGTTTTATTAACAGTTAGCTTTATGTTGATTTTTTAAATGTCTTTTTTTGTCACATACTTGCTCAGTCTAGAGATTTAGTAAATACTAAGTAGATTTTATGTCAAGCGGCATACGTTAAAATGAGAAATAATATCATAATCAGCATGATTCAAAACAGATGACTAGCTGTTGTCACCGCTCCTGCTTGTCTAGAGACCTGCTGATCAGAACAAACCTGAAAGGCCTGATATAAGCACGGTTGGCAAGTTTTTAAAGTTAGCTGGACTCTGTCTGACGCAGTTAGTGTCGTAGCTTCGTGTAAAGTTCCAGGGGTTGCAACTCAGTTAATATATTTTAAGGTTCTAATAATCCACTAAAGCACCATTGGTGATAAGTTGTTTTGCATTATTTTAAGTCTCACTAGATACGAAGAATAGGCTTTACATGACTTTTTACATTTTTGTGTTTTATCTTGTGCCCACGGTAAGCGTTAATGAAAGGCAATAACTGGCTTTAATATGCACAGATAACTTTTAAGGTTAAGCAGTTAGTTATGAGTAAATTGTTATATAAGTATTTTGGTTGGCAAGATCTCAACCTCGCAAACGATAATAATCTAAATTATTAGGGGGAAATTATCTATTAGGGAGAAAAAACTGCTACTTTGATATCAAGTATTCAAGGTAGCATTTTTTCTTCCTTCGCCATCTTCTATCCTGTCCTCCAGGACTTACTGTGCTGCGCTCATTCTACTTGAAGAGCCCTTCTTTGAGATACGAAGTTCTGACAGGCGGAACACAGCATAAGCTTTTCGTACTAATCTCGACATGCAGCGGAAGTTGGAGTTAATTGATAATATTCAGCCCTTGATTAGATAATTAACTTGTTGGAATCGTTTGCGAGGTTGATACCTTGCCAACCAAAGATGGGCATTTGAGTGTTTGCCATCAAAATCTGAGCTCGAAATAACATTCGAACTCCAAGTTTACGGTTTTATCCGTTTTGTGCACCCTCTATGAGTTTTTCACTAAAGTGATTGTGCAGCTTTTGGTCTCGTTCATTCGCTCTCACAACACAGTGGTTCAGGTTTAAATTCAGGTTGGAATTCTAATATTTCTCTTTACTGCCTCTCAGAGCGTAATGCTACCCTATGTTCTATGGTAATTATTACTTATCTATGTGAGTACTATCCCCTCTCTTAATTTGTAAAAACAATTTAGAATCACCCTGTATATTCACGTAGAAAATTATTTGCATGGTGTTAAATCTGGTGATGTATTTACTGAATATAAAACGCATTTAAAAAACAAATGGTGTAACTTTGAAATAATTTAAATTTGAGAAGATGAAAAAAATAGAAAGGTTGTAGAGTCATTAAGAATTTTATCGCAGCAGGAAACGTTAAAAATGCGCAATGCCGTTACCTGGATTCGAACCCGGACCTCCCGAATGCTAGCCAGACTTCCTTTCCAATTGAAGCACGAAAGTACGCGAGGAGGAAGGATAAAATGCCTTAGGTTATAAAAATATGTTTGTGTAGACAGGAAAAGATAAAAAATGTGAAAATTGTACAGATATCACAAAAATGTCTTAAGACTTTTTTGTAATGGTAGAGAAACCTAGGAAACTTCTAAGCAAATTAACAAGAAAGTGCACTTAAAATTCGAAATTCGAGCCTTTTTTTTATTTATTTGCGTTAACTAATTATATTATTTTATGAACAGGAGTGTAGAAGACATAGACTTATTTTCTGGCGGTCTCGCTGAAAGGCCTAATCAAGGAGCCGTCATTGGACCTACCTTTACTTGCATCATAGGTATTCAATTTTATCACCTGAAATATGGAGATCGTTTCTATTTTGAGCATGGTGGACAAGCCGGCTCCTTTACTCGAGGTAAATGATATTTACTATCTGTATCATGTTATTTTTATGATATTTCAAGTATTCTGAAAAAGAGTGCTCTTAAATTAGAATTTTATTACCGCGATCGAAACATTTCTTGTATGATTGCATAGAACACAAGACACCTACTGACTGTTATACATTTATTACATCTCCTTCAAAGCCATTCTCATCGGACTTCAATGTATTTGTGTTTAAGTTTTTTTTTTTTTTTTTTTTTTTTTTTTTTTTTTTTTTTTTTTTTTTCGAGTTACTCCACACATGCTCTAAAGTAGTTTTCTAGAAATCCTGAAGGACTCGCAGTGAATTTTTTAAAATTTCATCGGCATCAAAAGGATAACGGCGTCATATGCAGTAAACAGGAAACTTGCAGAACTGTGTTTATTAAACATTCAGCTAAAATTCGTAAACAATAAAAGCACTGCGAGCAAATGCATTATTGCGGTACAAAACCCATGAGTTATCTTGACACAATTCGGGTCATTTTCTATGATTTGCTTTATAAAAACTTCGTAAAACATTGAAATAATGTTATATGTTAGCAGTTTAGGCAGCTAGTAGAAATTCATAAAGTACAACGCCACGAAAATCGAAGGAAACAATCAATATTAGTTTAGTTTTTGATACATTTTGATGTGAATTTTTGGGTTTTTTTAGTTCACTTTTCAATCGCCATTTATTTGAATATACAGGAGTTTCTATACCAAAAGCATAAGTCCATGAGAAAGCATCTAGCGAGTCCCTTGAAAGGTTTTTGGAAAAACTCAAGAAGCCACGCATCTTAAGCTCAAATATTTTTTCAAAATTGCTTGATGGAATCCAAATGATACAGATATTCAATAATATCTCTAACTGTTACACGATGATCACTAAGCACAAAATATCAGACTTAATTGACGTGTTACTGATTAGTTGACTTGTATGATTTACCAGAATGGTTCATCTCCGTAAAATATCTTATTCATTAGCCTTCGTTTTCTTCGTTAAATACCTTACGCAATATACAAATTTTTGTTTTTGATACTTCCTCAAATAGATTTTCCGCAAAATTTCATTTTTATTGTAGAAAGTTTACTGAGAAAACAAAATTTAACGCATGTTTTCTACTCAGTTACATTTGCCATCTTTGTTCCTTAAAAATTAATTTATTTACAAATGATGAGAGAAATGAAATAAAGATAGTTGCCAAGTGCCAAAGAAAGCCGTAACAACTTCTGAGAAAACTTTGAAAGCGTTTTTTTTTTCTTTGCATGAATATTTTAAAAAATCATTCCCAATACTTAAAGCATTAGTATAATTTGCTCTATTATTTACTATTTGTCTTGTTTTCTGAACGTCTGAGACTGGTAACAACTGCTGGTAACTGGTATATTTGATCTAATAATTTTAAAATAGTTTTTTTTATTCGTTTATTTGTAATATTGAAAATGCTAATTTTTCTTTGAAGTTAGAATGTATACGTATCATATCATCATAAATTACTTTAATCTCTTGAATAATTGGAGGCTGATTCAACAGGCCTTATTCTAAATAAAGCAAAAAAGATTAAATTTGTTTATTAAAAAAGCAATGTAAAATTACTATCACAAATCATCAGAATAAATTTCTGTGGATGTGCAAAAAGGAGGGAGAAAAACGCGTTATATAACAAACGACATAGCAGATGCCGTTACAGTATTTAGGAACTATTTTTATTAACAACAATATATAATTTAATTTTAAATAATCTGGAATATTGATATATTGCTAAATGTATCAATATTACAGATTGAAATATATTGCTAAATTATAAAAATGAATCAAGTGTACAGTCATTAATCCTGTATTCCCCATTGACTCCTATTAATATACACAGAAATTTCTGTTTTGAAGTCTGGACATTGCAAATTTATTGCAAAGTACGAATTCGAACGACTTCTTAAACCACACAGTACATATTTCTTAAAACGAAAAGACTTCTACAGTTGACACTTTTAATTTACACAAGCAATTTAACAAATCCGTGTTCCGTTTTCTTATATTATTGTATTACAGCTCACTTGAGGAGGATTTGTTTATGTACCTAGTATGTCTTTTAGTGGTAATAAAGGTTTCTTGCACATTTTTGGGGCCATGAAATCCTAGAACGAATTTTGTATGTAAACAAATTCATATGAAATATGCAGGTATTAAAACTTTAACCTGCATATTTCCTATGAATCCGTTTACTCAATTCAACTAATCAGTAACAAGTCAATTCTACACTTTACCTCTGAAGAACATACACCATGTTCATAAAGGTATTTATCCGATTTTTCGCAACTGCTGGTCCCAGATATGTACTTCCAATTAAAAAATATTTTTAATAAGGCGGATATTGATGTTTGGACATTCCCTTATTTCCAAAAGCGAATTTTATAAAAATCATTGATTTTTTATCGGTTCTTCCATTCCTGTTTCTATAGTTAGGAAACTGTACAATCATTATGAAAAATAAAAAACAAAAAATTGATTCCCGTACAACAAAAATTGACCAAAATATTTAATTCCAAAATTTGGGATATTTGACCTTATTTTCTACTTGTCCTACGGGGTCGGATAATAAGTAAATCAGAATAAATTAAGTTTGATTTTTTCCATGCCATTCAGTGATAATCTTTTGTGATTTACTAGTGTGTAAAATTCTTTAAATTATACATTTGCTACGGATGGTACGTCGAAGGGATTTTCACACGAGTAATTTATAAGTTTTCAAACGCTCTAAAAAGTTATGAATATTCTCATTAAATTTGATTACTCTAGAATCGTAATTTAATAATCATAAAAGAAGTCATTAAGCTAGAAATAGTGGGCAAATAATGTTAAATTGTCTATACCAGAAACCTTTTTCTAAACGATTTTATTTTTTAGTTACGTAGAAATGGAGAAATTCACTTTTCAGGGTGTGTACGCACCCTATGTATGATGTCCAAATTTAAACTGCAATGTCTCGGTTAATTTTTGCAGTCAAACTTAAAAATTTTTATTTTTCATAATGAGTATGAAATTTTCCCCAAAATAAGTATAGGTGCCGGGAGAACGTAAAAGATTAAATTTCATAATGAAAAAATGTAATTATTTTAAAATTGAAAATGTCAAAAACTTGAATATTTGCGTCATTTAAACTTTTTTAAAATTGAAAGTATACATCTAAGACACACAGTTGCGAAAGTAAAGTCCTGCTAAAAAGGTTCGTTGGCATGGTGTTGTTGGCACTTGTGACACTTGGACGTATATAATGATAGATTTTTCAATTCTCTGGTAACGCATGCAGTTCTTCTTGCTTTGTACATAAACTCAATTTTGGTATTTTATAGCTCAACTGAGAGAGATCAAGAAGGTAACCTTGGGAAAGCTGATTTGCCAAAATTCCAGAATTGATGAAATACAGCCCAATGTCATGCTTTTTCCAAGCAACAGGTATTTAAAGTATTTTTATTTAATTTTATTACATGCATATCTTTGCACATTTATAGGATATTATCTCCTAATTCTTAATGTTTTTTAAAGTTTCATGTTATTTTTTTGAAGTAGTTCATAAAGAACAAAATTTTACGAAATAATGTGCAATGAGGAAAACCAGAAAGACTGAATGATCTACATTTTATATTACACTGTAGAATTTCAGTATTTTATATAATACATTTGAATTATGTTATGTGATTAAATTACGAATTTAAGTTTTATTCCATAACGATATTTAACATTTCCATAATATGCATGCTATTACAATAAAAATATTAATATTCTTTTGAGGCTCCATCTCTGAGATAATTTAAATCACCAACAGAGGAACTGAAACACCTTGATAAAAAGTTCTTATATAAATTATGTGAATAAGAAATGTTGCTAAAGATAAGCAAATGATGGGATTACGAGCTATTTCATTTGTATAAATGCCGCGTGACAGACGTTGAAGGGATCCTCAACATTTTTTAACTTAAGAGCACATTCTCGAATATCGACGGGGTGGCGGACACATTTATTCTTTCAAAGTAAATTTTCGGTTCACATAGTTAATAATATATATAACATATAAAAATATGTTTCAAAAAACACAGTTTTAATGTATAAAAATTATTGATTGCATGTTTACGTAAAATAAATAATTACTAAATAGTACAGACAAAAGTTTATAAATTCTTTGGTTTACAGTTCATAAATTCTTCATAATTAGTCAAATAAATGAGGTATTTGGCAATGCATTTAGGCCATTTCTTCATAATTAAGAGACTATGATGATATTCCTACTCGTAAGCAACTATATTAAGGTATTCATCTGTAAGTCGAAGTCTGTACTTTGAATTCGTGATATTCATTCCTGAAAACAACAATACTAGACATGTTTTAATTTTTAACAAATAACAGGGTCAAAATGACTAATTGACCGGGACCATAACTTCCAATTTTGACGGTCCCGAGCAAACCGGGACGTCTGGTAAGCCCCGGTAAAAAGCTGTACATATTATTTTACTGGGAACTTAAAAATATTTTTTTTGCGCTGGGTCTCGAAGGTAGCAAAGCATGCTAATCATCATCAGTTACGATTGCTTATCCGGTAATTATCGCACGCCGAATGGGATACGATCTTTGAACGGCGAAACGCCTAAATTGTCGGTACCAATCAACATTATGTATTGTAATAGTTGTAAAGACAAAAAATAACATTAAATCAGGAAACGAAGCTTAAGATTTGTCTATTCTTTTATAATGCAGAATGTGCACGAAGCGTAAAAAGTACTGTGGCTGTAAAATATTTAATTCATTTTTCAAAAATCGAAAATTTTTTATTTCATTATTTCGAAATAATGAAACCATTTAATTAAACAAAACTCTGATTTCCTTAACTTGAAGTTTCTTCCTTTCTTGGAAATTGAAGTGAAAATATGTGACAAGAGTATTAAGAAATAACATATGCAGTATTATGCACTTACTTTGCAGGCGTACTACGATTGACATTAAAATTGTTTCATAGTAACTTGACCTCTTAAACACTGAGAGTTTTAACTGAGACATAACGTTTGTTACAAGATTCTGTTTTTGTTACACTTTATTTTTGATTAAGTCATAGCATGGTACATATGTATTAAGTACTGAAACATTTAAAAAACAGAAAGCACAATAAATTTAAACTCTGACATTGTCTTTTAAGTTGGTGACTGGTTGACTGGTTACTTTATAGAGTGCAAATTAAAATACGAAACAAACAAACAAACAAAAAGAATAATGCACTAAACCACTAAAGCTACATGCCAACAGTGGAATTAAAACACATTTAATTATAACATTGCTAACAATTTTAACTTATATACTAGGTGCATAATAATTGACACTAATATAGACTAGTTGAAACTAACGTGACTAATGGTATAATAATTAATTGTGACTAATGTAGACTGTAGGACAAGGATACACTGCATAAAATTCATGACAAATACTAAAGCTGCAGTCTATCACACAAGTATTAAATAAGTCACTAACACTGTTTTAACTTTGATATACTGGAAATATTACGTACTTACAAATTTATTGCTTCACTTGATGAGTTTGAACACTTTTTGTGACATAAATTGTACTAATGGTTTCTGCACTGCCTTTAATAATGATCGAATTTCTCATTGAGTTATTGGTATCCTTCCTATTGTGTTGTTCTGCCTATTACTGAAATAAAATTTATCATTTAGAATGCCATGTCATTTATTCTGGATTAAGATGGATATTTCTTACGTATTATTTATATAATATCAGTATTTTATCTGTAAAACACTTTCTGCAATAGAAAAGTTTGATATATAGCTGCCTTCTTTTGCTAAAATATCCATTCGGGAGCTGCGGTGAATGGATTATATGGAATCAAATATTTAACGAGGAGTTTGAGTTGATGTTTTAAAGTTTAAAGAATTCATACAAGCGAAACTCCATTTAATTAGATTTATTTATTCTTTGATTGCGAAAAATGTTAAGATACATGAAGATTCTAAATTTAAGTTTTTCCTCTCAAAAGAGATATGCTTGCATTTTACTCTGTCGCTAAATGCAACACACATTTTACCTTTATTATATTTTTCAATTTGTTTTGCACAACTGTAAGTTGTGGTTTGATCTACGTTTCGTTGCTTTTAATATTACTATTACCTTTTAGCCATTTTATAAGAATTGTTGTCCAGTAATTGTTTTCATTTAATGCTCTCATAGATATTTCCTGTTTGGTAACTAACTTCACATTTAACTTCCCATTTAGTTTTACGTTTCATAGCTAGATTTCACGAAAAATAAATAACTGGGACAGAACATCTTCATTCTTTTGAAAGTGCCTGCTTAATATCTCAATTGTTCATTGATTCTAACACTATGCAAAACGTTTACTGCCCTGTAAAACACTTGATTCTACGAGTAAAACTTCCCTTGGGATCTTCAGACATTGTACTGGTTGGCCTATTTTAATTAAGGCAGAGCATTATAAGGGCTACATGTCAAAAGGAAGAACTTGTTTTCAGAGGAATCTGGCTCGTATTCACGTCACACATGGGAAATGCCTCGGAAAAGACCATATAGCCATTCTGGGAATACGAATTTCGAAAATTACTTCAGTAATATGCCAAGCTTAACTTTTCTACTCTTAGTCATTATAGTCACTTGCTTTTCGCAATGAGGAAATTTTTTGTGAGTATAAGAAACATATATTTTCAAGTAACATTTCTTATAATTCTGATATATATCTTTTAAATTACCTTTTTTTTTTTTTTTTTGCTTTAATATATATGCATCTGTGCGTTTTGTTCATGAAAGCCCATGATGTTCCAGTGGATAAAAGTTCTGAACAGTGGCAGTTTGACTAAGATTCTAATTCCGACCAACTGGCCGACAATACGGACGGTTTCGTTGTATTCCTCGTGATTAATGTTAATAGAAGTCAGGTTGTCCTATAAAGCTCTCCACGAAAATATTCCTTTCCTTGGCCAGATAACCTTAGTGCGCTTTGTCATAACCAGTAATTTAATCATTTCCAAATTTATTTCCTAATTAAGCTACCATAGAATCCCAGACATGGTACTATAACTCTTCTACTTCCAGGGCCACAACACAGAAATTCCTATTTTTATCCAGGAAGTTCTGATTAGGAGAAACCAAAGAATGATTTGGATGCCTTCCAAATTCTAAGCCCCTATGCAAGGACTAGCGGCAGTCGTGTTCTGCTATTATATCATACACTTCATAGTCAATGTGTTTTCATTACCGTTTTCACTATCCTTAAATTTTCGTTACAGACTATGGGAATTAAATTATTTTGAGTGTAAAGCCACAATTTGATCTGCGACCTGTAGTCCATCTACTGCAGTCTGTTATTTTAAAATCGGCCTTTCAAGGTGTTTTCTCCCTCCCTCAATAACGATCGTAACGCGTGTCGTCTTGACCACACATCATTTATTTTTTCCACCTTATTTCAGGGTATAATTCAAATCAGCTTTCATTCATTCTCTTTTCACGAAGCGAAACGCGCTAAACGGAAACTAAGTGGAAAAACACAGTGGGTGACTCGACCATCTAACGCAAATGTTGTTACCATGGTAACCAGGCAAACCGGGCAGAGTAAAATGACCCTGAAGTTCTTCTTTTAAAGTAATAGACTATAGTAGTAGTAGGTGCATTTTCTTTATACATTCCTGCTGTTAAATTGCATGCTGCTTTTCCAAGAATCGCATTTCAGTGCATAGGCTTTTATTAAGATGTTTCTAGATTTTAAAATTCATGACTAAGTAAAGTTTAATTAGGTGACTCTTAAGAAAGTAGTTAAGTGATGTGCTGTGAATTAGTCAACATTATTTGTTTAGCTCGTTACAAAATAACAGCAAAGAGAAGTAAGAAATAATTTTTTAAAAAAACAAGTAATTAAGACAAAATATTCCTTAATCAATGATCATGAAGGAGGACTTCGGATAAAAAAAGGATTCAGTAAAGATGCAGCAAACGAATCATCAGTTTTTTTTTGGGGGGGGTTACAGAAAGTAGATGGGAAATGAGAGAACATTTTAGATGGTTTTCGGCATTTGAAGGCTCTTATATATTATACTAGTAATTCTAATTCTTTATAAATATTCAAGGAATACTTTCATTAAAGAGCCCACCAGCGACCGAGCGGTAAAGTCGCTGAACACTGGTAGTTCGGTCCGAGGTTCGAATCCCGCGAACGGGTTGGATGCATGCGTGTTTTCGTGGTTTTCCCCATGTGTAACGTGTATACGAGCCAGTTTCCCTTAGAAAGTCCTCCACGAAGGCATCCCTCCCTTTAGGCAAATAGCCCTAGTGTGCTTTTCCGTAATTAAATACACCAACACCAACTTTCATTAAAGCTTGAATTTTCATAAAAATGTGTTTTAACATGAATATGTATTTATAAGTGAACATTTTGAATTTTTGGAGTTTAAAAATGAGAATTATATTTTTGTCAAGTTAATAATCATATTTGTTCATTGAGCCTTTTACTGAAGTCTAAAATTATTAATTCCTAAGCAACGCTTATATCCAAAAGAAGAAAACAAGTATATTTTTGCCTTTCCCTAAGTAAATGTATGCATGTATATGTAGTTGAATTCGCAGGTGTATCTACGTGTGCATCTTCTTCTTGGAATGTATATAGAAAAAATATGCTTAGAAAAAGAAATACTTTCAATATGAACAATTCTCTCTCCATAAATAATAATATGTCAAATTTGCTTTATTTCGTTTTTAGAAATAGAGTCGAGGAATGTGATCAGCTACCAGAGATGGATCTGACAGCCTGGAGAGAATAGCCAAGTTCCAATTCACCTAGTATGTATTTTGCTCAGTAAGCTGAAAGAGAATGTTCTCAAAATGAAATTCTGGTTTTAATTAAGGAGTGCCTTTTGAAATTTTTTCCTAATGTGAACACTTGAATTTTCTTACTAATAATAATTCAGGCTTATTTAGTTTTGCGGAAATTTTAAAACCAAATGTTTTATCTGAAATAGCTTTAAAAAGTTAATTATTTATACCAATTAAACATAAAGACCAACTTAATTTGAAACAAGTTACTGATTACATTAGAGGCATAGCCCTGAAATTTAAAAGCCGAACAAAATAAATTAGAGATGAGACACTGTGCTATGATTTAAAAGCAAAATATTAGTCAAAACATCTAATTAACAAAGTCTCAAGTTTCAGAAAACTGCAAGGTACTAAAGAAACGTACATCAAAAGCAAAAACAGAATTATATATAAACCTGAAACAGAAAGAAAATTGAAAGATTTCGGAAGGTTGTCTAATTCTTTAATTTTCTTCAGAAAGCAGATATCTGTAGTTCCCGAATCATATTGGTGAATATATTTCTAAATTAGCCATTAGAGATCATATTTATAAATCCTGAAACAGATTAATAAAATTAAAAATAATAATAAATTAAAATTTAGTAATAAGTAAAACTTTAGTTATTATGTCAAAATCATCTTAGGGTTTAGAAATTGAAGAATGATAGAAGTAAACAGAAATAGAAAAGTGCACAAAACTCGTATTATATTTAATGCAAAATAAGGCAATAACAAAGCAACGTTTATATCCGAAAGAAGAAAACAAGTTTATTTTTGCCTTTCCCCTAAGTAAATGTATGCATGTATATGTAGTTGAATTCGCAGGTGTATCTACGTGTGCATCTTCTTCTTGGAATGTATATGCAGTTGTAAAGATTGAGCGGATTAAAAAATAGTAGCACTTTTTATTATAACTAATAATATTTTTAAGGTATAAATCATTTTAACCGAGTAATTCGCAATATAGTTTAAGAAATTTTTATGGTATTTAAATATTCTTCGATACAATAGCTGTATATACTATAAAGGCTGTCTTTTACAGATGAATTTTGACAATGAATGGGCAATTACTATGTGTGTGAAAAATACATTTGATATTTATTGATTTCAATTCTCTATATATAACATATTCATGAGGTAAAATGTCTTTAATGCAATCTTTTTTACTAAAAAAATGTAATTATGTACACCAGCGTTTTTCAATCCGTGGTTCTTAAAGCCTGGCCTGTATTACTCCTATATTTCCAAAAAAGTAAAAATGAACAAAACTCAAATTAACTATATATGTAATATATTCAGGAGCAGGAATTTTGATGTCTTAGAATGCAAAAACGACGATCCACAATGAATAGGAAATTTAGAGGCGAATGCAGATTATTAAATCTTCAGTTTTATTTTCGACAACATATTGCGGCTACACACAAGTCCGCACATTAAATGTGCCTGTTCCAAAAGGCTTACATTTTTGATATATTTGAAGCAAAAAAGAAGCAGACAGACAGCAGTGTAGCTAGGCCAAAGCGTGGAAAGCAAGTGCGTAATGTTCAGGATGAAATCTTAAGTCAGACTGAGTTAGTTTTGGTTTTCAAAGCATTTTGATTGGATAGTTAATATTGATCTAAAATTACTATTGGCTGGTTGAGTTTAAGTTCCATTTACATCATCATAATTAAGTAAAAATCATATGACATAGAATACTTTCGAAATGACGCAGTGCAGAGAGGAGTTTCTATTTTTAGAATATAGAAGAAAAATTAATTTACGCTGTTAATTTAATCTTTTATATATTCTTTATTTTTCTTACATATTTCCCCCCTTCAAGAAGAAAAAGGCATAGCGACAGAGGAGCCGTTTTAAAGAAAAAGCGTTAAAGCACTAACAAATGAAAAAAAAATAAGTCATAAAATTTTGATCCTGTAAAGTATAATTTATGAATATCAATTTTCTAAAATAAATTTTAATTTTTAGGGTCCTATTGAATTTTTCAGCAATTCAGTCCAAAAGTCTCGTTTGAGAGTTCACATAATCATAATTCTTCAGGAAAGGTTCTTGTTATCACAGAATATCAAAAAATAAACTTTTGCACAATCATTAATTAAATGTAATGCACATAAATATTTATGATACGAATTTCCATACTGATAAATTATATTTTAACACCAAAAATATAATAGGAGTAACTGTTTCAGAAATTATGGTTTCACCGTTATCTTTCATTTACAATTCTTTTATTTTACCGTACTGGAAGGCCTCGCAATACTTCTAAACAAACATATCCATCAATAGAGCTGTCCTCTTCAGCTAACCAGTGTGTTCTCTGCACTGGTGGCCCAAATAAAGAATATATCTCATACTATAGTTGAAAATCTCAGAATTCGAAAATTACATATGGCAACCATTTACCGCTTTTCCTTGTAAGGCTGACATTTTATGAAATTTATTACCGGTTATCCAAGTGGTTTCAAATTGGAGGCCCTGAAGCAATTTTTTTGCGGACGGCGAAGACATTTTAATTTATTGTTGCACTAAAAATAATCTCTTTATTTGAGAACGCACTTATAGGTGAACAGCTTCATTTCACAGCTCAGAATTAATGACAAAAGAGACCGATTGACCAATTACAATCTACAGTCTATGATGAAGACAGTTCTAACATTTTCTCTCCGAGGCTACAGACTTTAACAGAATTCTGTCAAATGTTAAGCTGTAGTAAGAAATAAAGAAACTTACTATTACAAACATATGTATTTTTATTTATGCCTCGAAGGAAAATTCAAAAAATGAGAGAAAGGGACTAGGTTGTTATTATTTATTCCCCCGTTTTTTCTGTTTAATAAACTCCGTCTGAAAACTGAGAACATTTTCACAATTTGTTTATTTTTAGTTTAAATTAAAGTAAATTATTTAACGATTAATCAAACCTGTCAGAATTATTTAAGAGCAGTGTCAGTCTAAGAATTTAATAGTATTTAGCTGTTAATATATTTGAATTACAAGGTGTAGCCAACAAAATTGTTTTATGCTTACCAAACTTTAGTTTCAAATTAGAAAATAAATGTGAATTTAAATTTGTTTCCTTATACGATATTATTATTATTATTATTATTACGATTTATGTGTGTTTTGATAAATATTTAGTAAGCGAAATTGAAAATTCATTTAAAATATTTTTTATTTGTTAATTACATTTTTCATTTTGATTTAAAAAAATCTAACCCGTCAGCTGTTTTCAGATCGTACATTCGGCCAGAATGCAATTTGAGATTAAAACTGGGTTACCCTATCTATAGACTTTTCACTTTGGTCTTAGCAACAAAAGAGGAATTTAAAGTGTTATAAGACCGTGGTACCATCCTGTCGCTGCACATCTGGATCAGCTGGAACTCATTACCAAAGAAAATGGAATATAGTAAACAATACAAATGTGCAATTAAAAATTACGATTCAATTTGCTTCTATGCATTTGTGCGGAAAAAGAGTTTTTATCAACTCAAATAATAGCAAAGTACAGAAACTGACTTGGTGTATGTGCTGATATCAGACTTATGCTTACCAGTATATATCCAAACATAGTAGAATAGCTTGACAAGAATCGGCATGTTCATCTCCATCTCATAAATCTGAATACCATACTTATTTAATTTTTCGTTAATAAGGAAACAATCATTAAAATTGTTCTAGAATTATTAAAAATTCTAGATTATTCTAGATTTGTTAACAACGAATTATTATTAAATTAATTAAACAAATTATTATTAAAAAGGAAAATTGTTCTAGATTATTCTAGAATAATTAAAAGCGAATATAAATTGTTTTCTATAAATGAATTAATATGAATATCAAACCAAATGAGTTTTAATAAACTGTACTTTAAAAATAAAAGCAGGGTTGTAGTAACATATGCTAAAAATTTCTCTCGAAGAGGACAAGAGTAAGATTGTCCGTAGACCATTCTAACTTTTGGTAGTCCCCACTTGAAAACGTTTGAGAAAAGCTGGTACACACTATTTTTTATTAACACTGTCAAACCTTAATTAATTAAACGTAAGAAGCCTATGGGAATTAATATCTTGAGAAGCTGAGAACCAAGGCGTACAAGCATGACATTTTCTTCGTGTAAAGATGGAGTTGATAATGCTCTTAAAATGTGATTGGATTGATGCTAACATTCATGATTGAGAGATGGTAATCAGTGAATAAAGAACGCAGCTGCGATGTTGGGAATTTTGTTCATCATCCAAAATTTGAAGGAAACTGCATTATTTGAAAGGAATAAGGAAGAAGGTGAAAAGGTCAATTATATCTTTTTAAATTAATGGATCGATGGGCGATGCTGAAGACGATGCAAAACTTAAAGTTCTGCTTTACTTTATATAGGTTCAAGACCATATGCTTATGTTAAGATTCAAAGGGAAATATCATTCCATCCGGAGTTGTAAATTTCCGTTGTATTTCAAAGCGCTGAAATGCCATTCATCCGTGTTCCCAGTCCGTCCACGAACAAGACTTGCATTTTTACTGTTTTTGCTGCTCTTACACAGGTTGTGTTATGTTGAATATGTCGTCAGGGGTATATAGCAAAATTCTCCTACAGAGAAAATGGCACTGACTCGGCTTCAATAACGAGTTTTTTTTTTTTTTTTTTTTTTTTTTTTTTGGTAGACGTTACTTGAAGACGTAAATTTCATTTAGACGTAAGTTAAGGGAATATTATACACAGACATAGACTAGCAACAAAGATAATCCAACTTGCCTATCCCAAAAAATTCCATGCGGGATGAATCTATGACGTCCTTTTATGTACAGCTTGAAGTCCCTCACTTTTAGTTGTTAAGCGTCAGTTTGATTAGGATAAAGCGCGTTCAGACTGCTACCGTAAATGGAAAGTGATTTTTTTTCTAAAGGTAAAGTACAATTAAATGTAAGAACTTTTTTCTTTTACGATATCTCACTTCAACCACTGAACGCACGTGGAATATCATTGGTGGATTGATATCGTATATTTTTTTATAACGAATGGCGGCAACCAATAAAATGTGAAAAAGGTTGGCATGAAATATGTTTCCACTAACCCTGAGCATGATACTACCCAATTAATTGATTTTTTCTTCATCTATCTATCTTACATATTAATGCTCATAAGGGCAGTTACCTTCGCAAGATTGTTTAGAAAATTACATTTTTGAATCCACGAAACTTTGAGATTGTTGCTTTCATTACAAGTAAATCCATAAAGTAAATATTGATTAACTTTCATAGCTGGAGAACTTTCAAAGTAGGCGATATTTTAATTTGTTTTCTTTCTTGCTGAGATAAATTAGTTTACTATTTCTTACTTTCGTTGTCTTTAATAGAAATATATTATCTCAACGAATTTTTATCTTTTAAAATAAATAAATTAACCTGATATTTGCTAGTTATTAGTTATTCTGAAGTAAGAGAAAGAAATGCAATCTATTTATCTTCCAGTATATTTTTCATTTGAATAGTATATTTCTATCAGGCAATAAACGGGTATCAAAGGAAGGCACGTTAAAACTGCAAAATAAAAATGAAAATAAAAACTCTTCTGATATCAGTTTTGGCTCCTTAGAGCCTAATTTTGTAAGATTTCGTTCATTAAATTTCAATGTTCATCTCTCGACTAGGTATTTATCTCTAGTTAATAATATTTGGTTGGAGTTTAGGCAAAACTGAAAGGTCGAAAGCCTTCTGTATCTAAACATTCTGTCATGAATGATTCTACCCTTCTCCTGAAGCAAGAAAATTTAATGGAAAATTAAAGCTCTATTTGTGACTCAAACTTTGTAGTGTATTTGTACACCGTTCAGAGAAAAGGATGTATTACAGCATGAATTAACTGCAAAACTCAAGTTCTTTATGGCGTTAATTCCCACCAAATTACTATGACATTTTACGGTAAAAAACGCACTTCCTTTTCTTTACAGTTAAACGAATTTTAAGAATGTATTAATAGATTCTTAAGCCATTTCTTAAGAAGGAAAAGAAAGTACACAAAATTAGAGCTCACGTTTGAAATTTAAAAGATAAACATTTATGTGCAATGTTAGACATAGCTACATCAGGAAAAGTGTTGTTAAATTATAGAATGAACAATCTTGCTCACCGGGAGATGCGAAGAAGACATTCCTGAAATGTTTGTTATTAACCGTATGATAATTATTTAACAAGCATTGTTATTCTTTTTTTATGAATGCTTTAGATTAACAGTTTTTGTCCATTGTCATGTATGTTTTATTATATTTCATTTTAATATAGTAATTTAGCTTAACATACATCTTAATTTATTTCAGATGTACATTTAGAAATTATCAAATGAATGGATGTAAAAGTTCTTCTGATTCGGAAGGAATATTAGAGAAGACGTATAAAACATGGGCACAACTGCAAGGAACTTAATCACAAGGTACAAGTGTGAAGTACAGAAGAATATTCCGAAATCATCATGAAAACAGAACATCTCGAAATCATGTTCATCACTAAAAATATCCAGAAAAATTAAATGTTGTTATAAGTACCATTTTTCTATTGTTTCAGTAGTTATTTAGTGCGTACGTTGAACATCTAAACAGAAGTGTAGATTTTTTAAAGCATGCAAACAGGCTGAGAAACGCGAAAATATTATACCTCGAGATATAAGAAACTGCCCCCCCCCAAAAATCTCTCTGTAAAGAGTATGGTGTTTATTGCTTACAAGTTTCCAGAGATTATGCCTCGTTGCATTACTGTAATTCTACTCCTTCCCAGGGTGCATCAGGTTTTCGCATTTCAGTGTACAAAAGTTGTTAAAAAAGGAAAATAAAATAAAAAATCTAAATCTCCCCCCCCCCAAAAAAAAATAGAAGTGATTTTGATTTTAACATCACCCCAGACGGTTTGTTAAAGTTTTTTTATCCTCGTTGAGCTGGCAGTTTATCTCTTTGCTGTTAAATTCAGTCCTGTTGAAAAACCAAAGATAACAGAACATATTTTTTTTTTGTTTCTAAACTTCATTATTAAACATCACTTGCTTCACACTTACGCTGCTTGAAATTTAACAGAAAATTACAAAATTTTTAAACCAGTATATCTTTAAAATTACCGATATAGTGTTAAGTGTTGTTTTACATTTTTAAACCCAGAAGGACTATTGTTCTCGAACTTTACTTTTCTTGTCCGTTTCACTTTTCGAATAACTAGCGGCTAAAGCCGTCTAAAATAGTTACATAACTAATTTGATCCTTACTTGGAAAAAAGGCGAAACACTCTCACGTAATTTGGTAGTGGATTGGTTGTTCCTCTTGACAAGTCAATTAATCTAGGTAAATAACAATGGCTACCTTTTCAGTACTTTAAATTTTACTTTTTAGAAGTTTCCCGGTTTAAAATAATATTTCTATACAGATTATTAAAATATTTTTACTACAATAGAAATCTAAATTACTTATATTTAAAATACTGACTCAAATTTATTCCAATAATTTATCACATTAATTAAATAATTCAATAATTCATCGCTTGTTCCTTGGAGATGATATATAAAAACTTTCGCTTAGTTATTAATCAGTGACCGCTCAAATCGCTTAGTTGCTAATCAATGACGGCTGTTTAAATTTAAAACTAAAATTAAAAATCTTCGCCAAATGGCAAGAAATTGGCGAATGGAAGTTAAAAATATTTTAAATCGGGTATCTTCGGATTGCTCAATAAAATGTTAAATGTTGCCATACAGTATCTATTACCTTGTACGAAGTAAAGTGATTTCAGATATCATAATTCAAAGTTAATATATGTTTTGAACGTTTCCCGAACCCATTTAGATGATTTTTCTGCACGTGCAAACATTTTCTGGAGCGTCTGTACGTACGGACAAAATAAAAGACTATTTTCCAAAGCGTATTATAAAATGAATTTGAAACAGACTCCAAGGGGATTTTTTCGTGGTGTACGTACGTACAAACGTCACGAAGAAATAGCACGTAAGCACGTACTTACGTATGTATGGTCTTTCGCATAACTAAAAAATGATTAGCCATATAACGCTGAAAATTTGTAAAGGAGACTGCTTCAACATATAGTTCTGCACCTCCCTTTTTAACGATCGAAAAGGCCAAAAGCATATATATATATATACCCACCCCCTTGCCCGGTCTTTATTTTCACAATCGTTGGTTATTATCATATACAACCAGTAGGTGAGTGTGCTGCGTTAACTATGAGGCCGATTATTATCGGCCGGGAGGATTGCAGTACACTCGCATATTACATTACTTCCAGTTGCAGAACTGTTTTAAGTGATGAAACTATTCATCCTTTTGGCAATATAAAATTTAAAAAAATTTAGTTTGTGGAAAATAAAGAATCTAACTTTTAATGGGATGTCCCGGTTCCTATACTTATATCTGGTAAAGTTTTATATTCGTTATGAAAAAATAAAAATTCAAGAAGTTCGACTTCGTATGACAAATTTGACCGGGAAACTTAATTTAAACATTTACAGTTTTGGATGTCATTTCCAGTTTGTTTTGAGGGATCGGTTAATTAAGTTAGAATAATTCCAGCAAATAAATTTAAATGAAGTGTAGCAAAAACACGTCCAATTTAATAGGCAAGGAAGTCATGTGGTGTGCACATATGATTTTCTTACATTCGTTATATTATTTTTTTCAAAATAATACATAGCGATAACATATGATGATACAGTATATATGTTATGAAAAAAGCTAAAAGACGTAGTAATGTTGATGGCGTAGCATGTAGATCCATACCGAGGAAGAGGAAATTTGATTACATAGAATGTTAATCCATAATGAATAGGAAACTTACCAGTCGAGGCAGATTAAGTTTCATTTTTATTCAAATTCACATCTGTAGCCCCATTTCACTTGGCACACTAATCGTGCCTATTTCTAGAACATTTACATTTTTGAACGCTAGAGATACAAACGAAGGGCGCATTAACCCAATATGTAACATCTCCAAGAGGAAGGTTTTGGTTTAGGTTAGAAAAGTTTCATTTCTCACAGTTTATTTCCGAATCAATTTAAGTCATATCAACTACGTCATTAAGCGTTACTCAAGCTCTGACATAGATTTATCTACAAATGACGCAGTTCGGAAACGTTACTAATTCCTTTTAGAGTAAAAATGAGGAATTAAAATTTATAATTGTATGCGTGTCGGTCTGTTGCAGTTATGGTGTGTGTGTCCATGTACGGTGTGTCTAATTTTGCAAACATTGCTGCGGTGTTTGAAAGTGGAAAATTAAGTAAGTAAAGAAAGAATAACGACAAAAAGAACGGTAGCTGTTGTATCGAGAGAATAAAATCTTGAGGCAATCAAGAGACAGTGAAGGCAGCTGACTACTTTGGCATTTCACGGATAACAGTAGGAGACTGGAAAAGGGAACAAATAGAAATAGAAAAATGCTTTGCATCAAGAATTATGGAGTATGCAATAAAAAAGAAAAACTGTGAAAAAATATGGGAAAGTAAATGAAGCATAAAGTAAGTGAAGCGTTGTATGTTTGGTTTACACCATGGGTGTCTAAACTATGACCGTTTGAGGGCCGCATGGCAAAGGAAAAAAATTTGTGGGGCAGCATTGCAAAGAAAGAAAATTTTCGGGGCCACACATATAATATTTTTTACAGAATTGAAATAAAAATTAGCTCTATGATGTTTTATTAAAATTAATTAACTTCTTTTTATTATTAATTTTTGTAATTTGAATTACGTATGTATAGGTATATATTTATTATTAATTTTTAAAAGTTTCGATTCATTTAGTTTGGATTTCATAAAGATGGAAAAAATTCAATTTAATGAGATGGATGAATTTTCTTCTGTGGAACAAACAAATCGATATCGAGTTCAATGGACGAAATTGCAATGGAATCCTGCGAACGGGCTGGCTGCGTGGGTGTTTTCGTGGTTTTTCCAATGTGTAACGTGTATACGAGCGGGTTTCCCTTAGAAAGTCCTCCACGAAGGCATCCCTCCCCTTAGGCAGATAGCCCTAGTGTGCTTTGCCATAATTAAATAAACCAAACCAAGATGTTTGTCAGCGATCTTTGCCCTATTTTGGTTTTTTGTATGCTTCATTCTTAAAAATAATTGTTCACAAATATAGGTACTGCCAAAAAGCTGAAGACATTAATAAAGCATGATTGTGTAAATTAGGATATTTATCGCGGGGTAGGTAATCTTTATAAAACTCCAGTAAAGAAACATTTTCAAATTTTTCTTTCAGTTGAATGTGACTTTGCAGTTAATAACATCATCACATACTAAGATGTTTTTATTTTAAATTTTTATTTTAAAATAAATGTCAACGAATCGATTATATATGAATCAAATTCAAACATTTATTTTTTAATAAACATTTGCTTATTTAAATACTTTCATAATTTGCGTTTGGGCCGCACTTTAGACACCCATAATTTACACGGTTCAGACAAAAGTGGGCCTATTTCAAGGCTTATTTTACAGCAAAAGGCACTGCATTTTCATAATTATTTCAACGAAGGTACCCAAATTTCACAAAAAGTATCGGTTGGCTGGAGCGATGGAAGAGACGTTACGGTATCCTTAAGTGTTTATAGTGAAAAACTATCATCGAATTTTAAAGAAATGAAGACCTATAAGGAAACTGAAGGAAATTAATCGAAAATGAAAAGCTAATGAATGATCGGGTATTTAAATGTGATGAGTCAGCCTTTCATTACAAAATTTTACCTACAAAAATGTGCATGGATCAACAGTGATAATTTTAAAAAATAGTTCTTTAAGGAATTCATTCCTTCAGCAGAGAAGCCTTTGAAGGAAAATAATTTACCCATAAAAGCTGTTTTATTGCTAGATAATGCTTTAATGCAATCTGATGGAAAGGAACTCAAGATAGTGACATTAAGGCAATGTTTCTTCCTCCCAGTGTAACCACCATATGCCAGCCTGTGGACCATGATGTTTTGGAAACGACAAAAAGGAACTATTGCAGGAAAGTAGTATATACAACGTCTTTTCTAGCACACCGGATCATCCAGTTTATTCAGTGATCGAGTTTTTCAAGTGTCTTTTCTAGCACAAAAATTTCTCCCCCCCCCGAGTGCTGAATGTTTTTTGGTTATCGAGTTATCTGGGTGTAGGTTTTTTGCGTCGAACGAGCGAAAAGGGCAAGAGATGTTGGAATTGCACGGTTAGTGAAATGAATCGAGGAGGGGCTTTTGCTGGGGATGGGGGAATGTTCAGAGAGGGAGAGACTCAATCATTTGAGAATGTGTTTTTTAAAAACAATTGAAGGCATTAGATAAGGTGCCAATTAGAGTCTTTTTTGAAAACAAAGTTCTGAGGATGCATATAGTTTAGATTCAGTGAAAGAATTAGCTTTGAAATGTTATTATATTAACCTTTACTGATGTGTAACGATGCATGATGGAGTCAAGGAAAGTGAAGGGGGTTATTTTTGTATAAAAAGACTTTATTAACTATGAAATCAGATTCAAGCGGAGAGAGAAAAATATGTAGAATTGCAAAACAAAAGGT